CCTTACAAAATTATAAACATTACTACTGCAAATAAATCTATTAATATATTCAAATGTATAATCTCGGTCTGAACGCATATAATATTCCTTTTTATGTTTATGTTTACTGAAGGAAAGCATATGGTTTTTGCCACGTTTTCTCTTCTTCAAGCTCTGACCTTGTCACAGTGTATTGTGGGTATATTCGACCAATAGTTGAATATGCCACGCCCTGTTGGAATGCGGGTATCACAAAAAAACAATCTGACAGCATAGAAAGAATCCAGAAAAGGGCATGCAGAATCATACTGGGTAGAAGCTATCACTCGTATTCCGAAGCCCTGTCAACTCTTGACCTCCAACGTCTGTCTGAACGGAGACTGACCCTGTGCCGGGCCTTTGCCCTTTCAGCCACTAGGTCTAGGCACGCCCCCTGGCTACCCCCAGTTAGTAACCACTCACACAACATGCAGCTAAGGCAAACACGGCGCTACAAACCACCCATTGGGACAAAAAGATATTTATGCAGTCCTGTCCCCACAATGCTGAACATACTGAATAACCTTGCCATACAGTAGATTTCATTTTATGTTGTTGCACATGATGTAATTGTACTTTTTTATTATTGTCAGTTGTACTTAAGTAATTTGCCAACAGAAGTTGTATGATGTAATTTTAGCATAAATGTGCATTATTCTAGCGCATAAGTGGTGTTTAATGCCTCTCAAGGCACTTTTTATGTATATACATTATGTATTAGTCATGTAGTTCTTAAAAACTTGTAAAAGCTTCTCAATTCAGCCTTTGGCTGCAAAAAGCTTCTAACCTACTGTACTATGTATGTATGAAGTATGTGTTTCTGCAAATAAACCAGTCTATAATGTCTTCAGATACAATTTAATGTTCTTTCACGTCACATTCTCCGCCTAAGGGACATGTCTAGAACGTTCTACATGATAAAGTGCAGATTACCAATTCTGCCGGCGGACTAGGCTTAACGCCTCTTCACATTTCATACGAATCTTCTCAGAGCAAGACCAAGAGACCGATTCTAGGCACGGAACTCAATTTGGGTTTCTGGAACAGCATCTCTTCTCTCTAAGTCAGAAACGTCAACTGGAGACAAACTGGACTCACTGAGAATGAGAACTAACTGAATATAACAAGACTGGCAATGAAAACATACATTGCCATGGCGACGGTGGTTGCTGTTAGGGTCATTGTTTGCATGACACTGCCATCATTTCATGATTTTGAGGAAGCCTTGGTACCTGTTAAGTCTAGACCGATACAGTGCACTCCTCCCCAGAGTGTATAGTGAACGAGCCCCGGGGTCACAGAAAGTAGGGCCATCTGGGGCAGACAGGTCTTCAGGGTTCCAGGAATGTGGGCATAGATGTGGGTCACAGAAATGCCTGTGGACATTCCGAATTCCTAGAATTCTTGCAAACTGCACACAATACTGTACCATTAGGCTCCTCCCTGAGACGTCGCCAAAAACAGGGGTTATGAAGACAGCTTGAGAATACGTAACCTGTTAGACTTCAAGCCATCCTGTCTGCAAGAATGATAACATATACAGAACTTCATTTCTTTCAGCCGGCAGGAGAATACACCAGGGGAAATCTTTCGTGAACAGTCCGTGTTAATATTACGCTGTAATCCCCCCCTCAGAGCCTCCTACAACACATGATAGGTTTGTAAGTGACAAGCTTGTCAGTTGTAAGAGGTGAGGTCTGCTTCTGGCCATGTAGGTTGTTTGACGTTTTGACATTTTACGTCCAAAGATATCATCAATCATTTGGTAAACTCCTGCCATGGCGAAGCTCTTTTCCACGGGAAGTCTATATAAGCTGTCAGACATGTAAGATACAGGTGACAAACATTGCCAGTTGTGATTATAGGTCTGCCTCTGCCATGTACTAGTATATTGCACGGCCTTTTGACATTTCACTTATTCTGGCATCCCCAATCACAAGGCAAGCTCCTGATATAGCCAAGCTCCTTCATAGCTCTCATGAAGTACATGTCAAAGCAGGACACGTTTGGACACTTGATGTCATGCAAGAACGAATGTGTATAGTAGACAAACTATGTAATCATGTTTCTAAATGTTCAAAAAGAGAGAAGAAAGGGCAACTAACAGTAGATGATAGGTAGTATATAGTATTTTAGTTGTAATATATAGACTCCTAGCACTTAGCAATAGATATAGCGTCCCAGTATGCAATACTCATGTTTTATCCTCTCGACCACATTTGGTCACATTTGTGCATTTAGCCCATCTGGACAAGAACATGCAATAAATATTCATACCATCTTGGGCCAGACGATCTGCATTCATACCATATAACATGAGATAAGGTATAACGAACTATTTCAGGTGCGAGTGGCTGGTTCTGACTCTTGTCATGTACGTTCTGCGACCCCGTGACATTTTACTTCTTCAAGCATCACCAATCATTACAGACGGGCTTCTGCCGTGGCAAAGTGCTTCTCCCGCAGGATATTACGTACAACCTGTGGAAGTCACAGATGACAAACTTTGTCAGTCGTGACTGGTTGTAGTTCTAGCCATGACCTCTTGACATCTTACCTCTTTATGCATCAACACTTTTTTTACTCCAACATGTAATCACTATAGCTAGACATGGTGACGGCACACTCAAGTTTTTTCAACTTATATCAATGCCGCAACCAACACAGGGGACAATACAAAATAAATAAATAAATAAATAAATAAATACAATACTCATTTTCACCTGAGCGAAGTGAGGAAAGCCGTGTAAAGTGCCTTTCCCAAGGGCACAAGATCGGTGGCATGTCAGGACTCGAACCCAGGACGTCTTGGTTCCGGCTCGAGCCCTCTGCCGCAACGCCACACGACCCCACATATCAACACTTACTTAGCAACATCCTACCGTAGCAAAGTCTTTTCCCACTGGATCTGTCTATATAACCTATGATAGATACAGGTGACAAGTCTTTTACATCGAAAGGGATTGATTGGGCTTCTGGTCATGTACATTGCCCGACCTTCTGACATTGTACATCTTCAGGCATCAGAAATGATTAGCCACTGCAAAACCGTAGGAACCTTTCCTCTCATAGGACATGTATACAACTTACAGGCCAGGAAGTTTGTCACTTTTGATTGCCTAGTTTGGCTTTTGGTCGCGCACGACTTTCTTACACTTTAATCTTCAAACATCGATGTCGTTAACCACGCATTAAGCGATGTCTAACCATATCAAAACCGTTTCCCTTTGAATATGTATACCGCCTGTGTTAGGGCATGGGTGAGGAACTTGTCAACCCTGATACAACCCCAATAGCCTGATTCTGCCTCTGGTCGAGCACATTGATCGGCCTTCCCACATTTTGATCTAGACACATCACAAACCATTATGCGATAGACTACAGGCGAGGAGGCTTGTCAAGTGTAACAGACCGAGTCCGCTTCTGGCCATGAACATCGCTCGACCTCACGACCTTCTTGTTCCTCAGCCATCACAAACTATCACACGACGTCCCCCTAGCAAAGTTCCCACTCATGGGAAATACCTGCCACCTAGCTACGAGTATGATAACTTAGGATGATACATACTAGTAATCGGTCGTGATTACCTGAAACACCCTAAGGACACGTATTGTGCCTGGCATGTAAGGACCTGACTGCAATGCATTAGGGCACTACCGAACGTTTGGCAAGGTCCCAGGCCATGGTTTAGTGGTTAGGGATCCTACTTTTTTTACCGGAGGGTCAAGCGTTTGGATGTCCACTTTTTAAAACTTAATCGTCAATCGTTACATCGTGCTCAGTTGTGGAGTAAATGGATACTTGGTGACGCCACTGCATTTTTTTGCGACAAGCATATTATAGCTTACCGTAACGCTACACGTTAACGTACAGATGTTACAGAGCATCATTTTATTTACATCCAAATTCCTCTCCACACCTTTGTACATACAAATTGAACAGTACTCCACAACTATGAGAGTGTTTGATAAGGTGCATATTGCACTTGTCAGGTCGGTAAACCACATCACAAATCACTCATTCCTTTGTAAAATCTACTTCTAAAGGACAACTACACGGTAGATCGCTAAGGAACTCTCTCCATTACTGCCAGGTCAAGGGCACTAAGCGCTACACAACCAGCGCGATCCCTGCACTAGCAAAACTCCTGGTGGGACTACAAACTTCTTAACTGCATTTTTAATCGGGCTGGACCCTAACCTCAGTACTGTTGATTGTTTATTGTGTCAATTCGAATTCTTACCGCCAATTGTACATATTCTTAGCGCTCGTACCAGACTAACTTTTAAACTTCAAAGACTTTCAGCCATTTTAATGTACAACGACAGTAGTGATTTTATATTCGTGAGAAATTATATTGTTTTAATTATATTGCTATAATGATATGACGACGACGGTTTTTATAAATTTTGTATATCACAAGTGTAAGTTGCCCTTTTATATCTACTAGTATTGTATAATCCTATAAGTTGTAAATATCAGCACAATTCAGTTTTTGCTGCAAGTCTGATATGTTCTTTGCTCTTTTCAATAAACCAATCACTACTACCACATATAGCATCTGAATCTCGAGTTGTAAAGTTTGTATGTACTTTGTAACCACTTGTTTTGTGTACCGTACATTGCTCAGTTGCCAGGGCCCGCTCTAAGCAATAGCCTTTGGCTAGTTCGGTAGCCCTGGCGAATAAAGCAAGAACAAACAAATAAAAAAGCAGGCTTTTAAAACCACCACTTCTTGGTCAGAGAAAACAAAAATGGACGCAGGTGCGCTTGGACTTCCATCATAACATCAAACACCTTTCCTTAGTCAGAAGCATTACCGATATCCTGTCCGTACCCGACTCTAACCTTGTCCGTTTCCTGATCTCCTACAGGTACGTCAAAGGACAGAAAGCTGAGGTAAGTCGTCTCAATCCTTCTGATTATTTACTTAGCTCAATGTTAAAGCCTTTGCACACTCCTGGGGGCAGCGTATGTGTGTCTGTAGGTGTTGTTATGGCATATACAGCCATTAGCCAAGGATACGCCCGGGTCTTAGAGAGTCAGGAGGTCGCTGACACCAATGCTCCGCAAACTGCAAAGGTTAAAACGGAAGGACGCTCCAGTGTGTAGGAGCTTTGCTACGATTTCAAGTGTTAACATTTCAAGGACGTACTCGAGTCAGAAGGGAAGTTGTGGCCATTAAAAACAGCTCGCATTGCCCTGAGCAATTTTACCAAAGAGGTTTACGCCTCTATAGACCAGCCCGGTATTATGTATGTGTAGTTTAGGTACTTAAGTTGCATTAAACCATTGCCGTTTAGCCAATAAATTACATCTCACAATTACGTACGTTTACGCACATATGGTACACGCTTGTGTTTGTTTTTTAAATAAACTGTGCACATCTGCTTAATGCTTAGCAATGTACCATTAGACCTGAGATGCTGTGTACAGAAGATCTGTGAAAAACAACGCCAGACCATGGAAACGCCATCTTTTAATCCAGTTTGTAATACTTTAAAATGTGTTGTTGACTTTTCTGTTTTCGATACCAGATACACGCGCAGTTCCGGATGCCATTAACACGTGTGTACAAATGCTTATGTCAAACAACCTCTTGATACCCCCATCGCATTAAAAGCTGGTGAAGGCTTAAAAACGTAAACTGTAACTTTTGGACAAATGAACCAGATGGAACTTTCCCAAGGACACAACACGTGGTAGAGTGTCAGACTCGGAACCAAGAGGTCCCGGGTTCGAACCCTGGTATAGCTAAGGTCCCAATTACGCCGGTGCCCGTCGGGGATGTAGCCCCGGCTGGCCCCGGCCGGGTTCAGGAGTCGAGCGGGCATCGGCTGTCGTGGTCACAATTAAAAGTTTCCTTCAGTAGTATTTTGTTAGAAATTTTGTCACCCTCTTTGGTCGGTATCCGGCAGGCACCCGGCAGGTACCCAGCAGATTCTCTGACGATGTCTTGTATTGACCTATACGTAATGCAGAATTCACGTATTTGTTGTGATCATTTGATCTGTGCGGTCACACATTTTACCCGGGTTTACGAAGTACACACCTTTATTCTGTTCATCTGGTCTGTGACGTAAGAAATGTGTCCCGGTGGAATGCCGGCAACCGGAGGGGTACCTCTCGGTGTTCTCACGATGAGGTCACGGCGTCTTTTTGTCCGCGGGGCCCGGGTAGAATTTAACTCAGAATTAAATTCTTATCGGGGCCCTGACGGGCCAAAAAATAGCCCGGTAGCCGCAGGGTGTCCCGCGGGGCCACGTCGGGGTCCCGCCCGAAAGTGGTAAAAAACAGCCCGGGAACTACCCGCCAGGGCCCCTTTTCCCAATTGGGACCTTAGCTTATGCCACGCGCACCGATCTTGTGGAAAGGCACGACTTTCTCGGGTGAAAATGAGCATTGTATTATCCCGTGTTAGTGGCGATATAAAATAATTGTAGAAAAAAATGGAGTGTACCGTCACCACGTCTTGTGATTGCATGCGGCCGGGCAGGGATTGGAACCCAGAACCTTCACATTCTAACCCACTTACCCTAAATCCTAAAAGACACCATAATCGCACGGCGACCTTTAACGAATGTGGCCGCGCCATTAGGCCACAGCAAGTAAATTTTATGGATGACATCCACCAAAGACTCTAAATCTGATGCGAGCGGGTGAAAAAAAAACAAGGCGGGCCAATAAAAAACAAGATTCTAACATTTTCAAATTTTTACCTTATGAAATGAGTCAATATTGTGCCAGGTTTGCTGCCAACTATTATTTATTATACAACATCCAAGACAGGAGCTTTGTCTTGTCTCCTCTCTATATATTTATCTGCCATCCACGTTCGGACATGGCAACAAACATACATGTACTTACCCATTTTCGACATGTTGACCACTGTCAGTGGCCAACAAAATTTCTTGTTTTGTTTTTCCCAAATTATGCTCTCGCTGATGCCATCCATATAAATTACTTGCTGTGGCCTAAGTACAAGTTGCGCAGTGGGACCAGATTGATAGCTCTGATCCTCTTACGTGAGGAGAACCCCCCCCCCCCACTCCATCCACCTGACCTCTCCATTAGTACCAACGCAGGGAGACCTTTTAGTACTTCTAATCGCGGATCAGCAGAAAGTAATATTCATACAAGTCGCAAATCGTAGTTTACACCCCTGCTGTATAGATACTGTAGTCGCTGACCGAATAAGCATTTTACAGACTGCTTAATTGCAAATTTGAAATTTGAAGAACGAATATTTGAAGTTGTGTATGTTTTTTTGTCTTTTACCATCGTGATTCATAATCAAATAATAAAATTAAGAATAAAAAATATCCAGTTCTGGTCACTCAGTAGTCGTCGTTCGTTCTGCGGCTTTAGAAAAAATGTGAGTAGTTTCTGGGTTTGTCACATTTCCTCTCATATCGGGGCTAAAAGGGTCGGCAAAGCGTATTCCATACACGCACCACAGAAATGTAAATCATCCATTTGGTTAAGAGATTACATTTGTGGTTTGGAGTGCTTTTTGATTTAACTCTAAATGCGGTTATGCCAACTAAGAAGTTTATCAGGCTTACGCAAAGTAAATTAACTGAGTTTTGTGATCAGAGCTGGATAGACTTTGATTCCATTTTCTTTGAGGGCACGCGTGAAATTAAACTACAGTATGATTTAAGCTGCCTCTATATTAAGGTTGCTCTCTTTTTTTATCAATCAGAGGTTCACAGTCCGGTTACTCGTATAACTTTGTAACACTACATGTAGTATGTTACGCCCAAAGCTGCCCACAGGCGGTTTACCGGTTCTGCGAAACGAACAAACAAACAAACAAACAAAAACGTGAGAGTACAGAAAAAAATCTATACGCTGAGAGGTGATGTAACATTAATGCTTTTAGAGCTGAATGACTTAGTTTTCAACGAGGTCATTTATGGGATCAAAATCCAGTACATTGATGTCCGTAATAGTTTCATTAGGTTGGTAAGACACTGAGTGAAGAGACTCCTTTTTACACAACCAAGTCTTTTATTCAGCTGACGTGAACCAGTCAGAATTGCCCTGAGGAGGGTGACAGACGGTAACAGAAATGTCGGCTAAATAGAAGACTTGGTTGTGCATATAAAAAAGAGTCTCTTCACTCAGTACATTGATGTCATTTTATGATTCAACGTGCATCTTTGTTAGCGGACTTTTTATGGACTTCTCAGGATTTTTAAACAGTTCATTAGGTGCAGGACTTGACACTGTTGATGTTTAGGATGTTGTAATTAGTAATAGTTTATGTATGGTGTATTTGTGTGTGTATTTTTGTGTGTATCCAGGATTACCTGAAAAGCAGGCCAAAATGGCCTGAGTTGTAATTACTGGTTAAATAAATAAATTGAAATTGAAAATTGAAGCGTTGCTCTGTCCTCTAGTCATCAGAGAAGGAACAAACCGAGACTTTACTAAGTACAGTACACTGAGAGGTGATGTAATATCCATGCGTGTCGGAGTCACATCCACAAACACTCTCCTCGCTCGAGACGGCGCGTCTGCCGATCCTGTCAGCAAAATGAAAATACATCCATCACAAGTAGGGCAGGTCGTTTATTACTAGTACGTGGACGCACATGGACAAGTCAATTTGTCTGTTCTCGGATCTTTAACTGCACTGAAAGGACGTCCATAACGGAGGATACGCGCTCATTTTTATCGAGTGAGGACATAGGTCAGTAGGTGTTAAGTGCTTTTCCCAAGGGCACAACATTGAACCTGCTAGGGATTCTAATAACCCAGAACCTTTAGGTTCTAAGTTAACAACTCTGGCCACAACACCACCTGTCTTGACTCGTTTGCCTCCTAGCTCTCTGGTTTCATCTTGTTCTCCTGCTTCATTTTTGGTTTCCGAGAACCAGGACCATGAATTGATGTGACTTTATAAAAAATGGTAATACTGGAGCGGCGCGCAAACTGGGGGATTTGCAGCGGCGCCGCTGTCGAGCTTGTCTCATTCCGGGAGACTTAAGGCAAGAACCTCGTCTCCAGCAGCCTCCCTAATACCCCCGTCACATTGCGCGTAAATCGATCGGCCGACTAGTTGGCGAGCTCTAAACGACATTTACGGTCGTAGTACGCCCGATGTTCCGTCGAGCATCGCGCGAATTTTCGGGATCGCCGGCGATTTTTTGGAGTCGGCCGAAGCTCGCTGACACGCGAAACGTGTTCTTAACATCAGCGACTAGTCGCCGGCGATTTTTGAGGTCGCAGAGCTCGTTTCCAGCTCGCGCGTAGCTCGCCCGTAGCTCGTCCCTGTGCGGCCGAGAGTCGACCGATATTCGGACGTACATCCCACGAGTCTCGGCCGTATTTCGTCTTTGAAAATCGGGCGACGGTCGCTGAATACGGTCGACCATCGCGCGAGCTTCGCGAAATATTCGGGCGACCCTCTTCCGTACCTCGCCCGACTTGCGCAAAGTTTTTAAAATCGTGCGTGCTTCGAGCGAGCTTCGTGCCAGTGTCGGACGAAGGTTCTACGAGCCTCGGCCGAGCTCCTGTTAAGTTATTATTTATTCAGCACCTGTAACATTTCTTTGAGATTGCATTGACAGTATACTGTGTAAAGTTTGCAGGAGCAACGTCCCACTGATTGTTAACGTTATGTTTACGAGAAAGTATAAAAATAGACAAAATCGTCCTTTGTCCTTTTGTTACATCAACATTCGTTAATGAACTTTAAAAAGCACTTTAAAAAGATGACGAGGTTTTAACTATATAAGGCCAAATGCCTAGATTTTGACCTCAACTGATTGAACGCACATGAAATCCATTACTCTTGTCCTTTTAGGAGGTGTGTGCCGGCCCTTATTTCAGATGATTGTATAATAAATTAACGTTTACACTTGTTCATTCTGGAATGAGGTTGACTTTTTTTCCTTAGGGTGCCTTCATGTGATAGATATTACTTACTAGTTGAAGTTTATATTGCATGGGTCTTTTTACCTCTGTCTACTTTGTTGACATTGAATGACTAATAATCTTGTTTACCGGAAGATTCATACTATTTTTAGACACAATTATACAGGCAAAGTTTTAGAACAACATATATTATTAGCTTTGTTCAGGTACACGTGTATAAAAAGATTTTGATATAATGATAATCATTATGTCTTGTTGTACGTTTTGGTTGAATGGTGTAGAAATCGTGCGAGCATCGATAGATCGTCGACCGTAACTCGAGCGACGTACGCCCGTGTGTCGAGCGAGCTTCGGCCGACTCCTGTCTGGTTAAAAATGTGGTCGTTGTGTTAACCAGACGGTAGTGTACATTTGTGGCTCTTGTGGTAGTATTTGAGTTGGATCCTTCACGGAATTCCTGTTTCTATTTCTATTTCATTCTGCCAGTACGCTCCATTACTTTGCTAAAAAATATTACGACAGGTCAAACATAAAAATTGTCCAAACTATTCATTTTTAGGTGGATACACTGGCCTTGCTTCATCTGCTTGCCATGTCATAGGGACTTCATTATCATAGATGTATTGCCAAGCGATCGCCCGAGCCTCGCACAATGTGACCGCGACGATTTTCAAGCCAAAAATACGCGCGATCGTCGGTCGATCTCAAAATCGGCCGATCTTTCGGCGATTGACAAATACGGCCGAAGCTCGTCGACAATGTGACGGGGGTATAAGGACGCCGTACGTGTAGACAGGTGAAACCGTACAAAAATAGGAGCAAGAATCAGCCAGTCACTTGAGTAAACCCGATAGAGGAGGTTGGTCGACACATTTTGTCGGCTAAATCGTTTGGAAATTAAAAGTATTCGCACGTTCTTCTGCAGTAACCATAGGAGTAAAAAGACTGCAAGTGGTGTCACAATGGTTTGTGGGTAATGACCCTGGACTAAGAGGTTGGGGGTTCGAATCCCGGCTGTTGTCGCTCACCCGACATGCACGTTGCTACTGTAAAGGGTCACAGTCCTTAGCATGAGACATTAAGCCGTGGTTCACTGTTTACTGCTCATTGAGCTGGTCGAAGCGAGTTTGGGCAATTACCAACCCATGTGCTGTGGATACTGTACATAGCGTCTGTCTTCTCCGTCACAACCGCAGTATAAGATTAGCTTAATTGTTCAATGAGTTCATTTGCGCTTAATTGGTTCAAGATCACTCTGGCTGCGAAGCTTAACTGAGGAGACAAGCCCCCACTTTCCAGAGCGACTTAGTCTCCGATCAATAAAAGAAAAACGACGGGCGATCCATCACAAACACTAGAAGGAGTTGAACTGAAGGAGTAAACGATACCGATGCACGATAATTGCCCCCCAAAGCTACAGGTAATCCCATTCTTCGCCAGACTATTGATGCACTGTCTCTCTGTGGGGAAGTTTGAGGCTTGTTGTCGCGTCTCAGTGGCACAATAAGTGTAGCGAGTCCACATCCAAGAACTTAAACTTCGTCTGTTACAAATTACACTGTGGGTAAAGTTGTGATCAGTTGCAAAGTCTTGGTGTTACAGTCATGCCTGATTGCACGGGTAGCCTGGTATCCAGTCTGATCGTGGTCGGGGCCACAAGAGCCCTGTCCCGCCCGCCTTACATAGGTTTCCCGGTGTGTATTTCACGAGAGATTGATTAGCCCTCCAAATCCCCCAGCATACTGCCTCTTATTAGTGTAACACTCCTACCGGGACGGCCTGTCGCACTGGGCGGGGGCAGCTATTAGAGCCCCCGAAGGCACAGCCTGCCTGAACACCCCAATACCCCCAATCACGTAAGACTGGATACGAGGCTACTGATTGGGCTGTAGTCAACAAGTACCGCACTTATTCAGCAGAGTAGAACTGACTGAAAAAGCTAGCACCATCAAAGCCGCACTAGCTATTTGAATAAAAAGGTACCATGCTTCTTCTTACCTGAAATTGCTTGAGGTGTACTTACCCAAAAACTTGAGGGCCCCTTGGCTGGATACTAGAAGGGTGCTCTAAAGATCTTTAGTACAGCGGCCATGCTGTAGTGGATCTACATTTGCAAACGAATCGAGATCGACATAAATGAGCTGCAGCTAAACCATGGCGCATGAAGCAAGCAAAACAGCACGCATGTGTTAATAATACACAAGATACAAATTCCCCAAACAGTATTAGTGAGCAATCACAATATTGAATTAATCTAATAATACAGAGTTTTAGGCAGGCACTGCTTCTTTCTGACCTTCATCAGTGAAAAGAAGATAAACTTTACGTTCAGATAATAAGGGGCATGGGACATTAACGCATTATTGTACTATTCTGACAAACAGTAATGAATTGTTGTGCACCTTTTCTGATTCCTCCAGGCACCGCGGCAGGGGCATCATCAGGACGGGAAAGACGGACCCTGCATCATCCAGTAAGTACTGAAAACATCAATTTTCAATCAATCAATCAATCAATCAATCAATCAATCAATTATGCATGACAGTTTCAACAGTTTATTCATAAAAAACAGTCTCGCAGCCTGTACAAAAACATGCTGAATAACACTGATTTTTTTTTACAGTTGATTGTCTGGCAAATACAAATTAACATTGCAATACATATACAAACACACGAACAAAAACATTACAGAAAGCCTCACACGGGCACTTAAGTAAAGACCAGAGAGTCCCAAGAGTCTTACTGCGAAGACTATCATCCGAAGGCACCAGGTGCATTCCCACGTATACCTAATCGTCGCTTTGGGCAATATCTACTTCTTCATCTATGAGTAACTTCAAACTGTTTCCAACTGAAACAAAAAACCGAATTACTAGTACTGTGTCTTCTTCAAGTTTCCGACCCAATTGCTGTTTTTAGCACGTGTGAAGTCAGCAATGGGTCAAAGTTCATCGGAAGTCGGTATCGCCCCCCGCTAGTTCTCCTTCTGTTTATTTTTCATTACTATCGACAAGATCATAAAACAAACTGTCCTTTATCATTACAAAGACGGCACCATCGTTTGAATAAGGATTTTGCTCTGAATCTTATCAATACCTACTATCTGTATCGCCATGATGGGTGAGCTACAGTGCTGTTATGTACTTGGGAATTAATCTCGGAACTATTTTATCCCGTTTTATGTCTTCTGTGCTTATTGTACATACGTCGATGCGACGTTTCAGATAGCATCCACTATCATTCACCAGTGACTGATAGCAAACCCCACTATCTTTCATTATCATTACTAAGACGGTCCCTTTCTTTGCTGAATAAGGGCTCTTTTTAGTATCTAATCAATAATTTGTATCCTTGCCGGAATATGATGGGTAAGGTTCACTCCAGTAGTCTACTATTTATCCTGTTTTTTATGTCTTTTTATCCTTTTTGGTGTATCATGATTACACATACATCTTTCCAGATAGCATGCACTATTACTCACCAGTGATTGACAGTATATTTCACTATCTTTTAGTGATGTACTTTATCAATGACTGAACATTTCCCATTTACTGATGGAAGATTTTGGATGCTATCTGAAACGTCTGACTGTTCAGAGAACTTACCAAAATGCCTGATTTACCTTGTATCTCAAGTTGTATGTGATAAGAGTGTTGAGTTTGAGTTTTCTTGTTTTCATAGCATCCCTTTGGGCGGTTTATTCCCTATGTCTGATATATAGTCCCCGTGCCATCATGCCTTTGTATCATAAAGAACATTAAAAGCTCGTCTGTGCATGCCCTTGGCCAACCTTGGCGAGGGTCGCTGTATAAATGGTTAAGAGGAAATACATGATGTATATGTTGACCCCGAGGTCTGATGCATCGGAACATCAACGGCAAAGGCGCAGCACTTTGTGCAGTACGATATAGAGCCTAACAGCCGCATGCTTTCTACATCGCAGACTGGTACTTCATAACAATTCAATTTATTCAATCAAACAAAATTGTACAAAAGCAGGAAATGCTGATGCACGCCTAAATTGTGTATTCGATTTCTACAATTGGTTAAAAAAAAACAGGACAAGTACACAGAAACACACTATATACAAATATGTACAAACACTATTCAATCTACAACAGGAAATAGCAGACATGGGTTTTCAATATCAATCATTATCGCTGTCATTTTTTTCAAGCGTAGAGTCCTAGCTTTAGGCAGCCGCATCGTGAATTCATTTGTCTTAGTGCTTAACAATGGAGCTGAGTTGAGATGGAATTTCACGGGTGTGGTTTGTGCACGCGAGAGATACGTTTGTTTCCTGCTAGTGCGACATTAGGCCACAGCAAGTAAATTTTATGGATGACATTCTCCGCAGACTCCAAATCTAATGCGAGCGGACGAAAAAAAACAAGGCGAGCCGAAAAAACAAGGTTCCTTCATTGACTTTCAACTTTTGACTCAATCATTGTACAAATGGTTTTGATTCAGTAGGAACATCACATATACACGGCCAGCATCACATATCACTGCATCAAAGTAAGAAACAAAACTTAAATCAGGGTCTTTTCTTGTCTCCTCTCTTCATAGTTATCTGCCATCCTCCTTCCGGCATGGCAGCAGACATCTTTGCCCGTTTTTGGCACGTTGACCACTGCCAGAAGGCAACAAAATTTCTTGTTTTTTTTTTCCAAAATCAGGCGAAAATTAATGCGCGCGCTGATATCATCCATAAAAATTACTTGATGTGGCCTTACGGGTTGCCGCGGGTTGTAATATGCATCACAGACGGTGTTATGCGTGTGCTGACTGAGGTTTTCAACTCTGTAGTTTATCAGGACCATCTATCTTACATGTAGTTTAGGCTCCCGTGCACACGGGCGCCGACTGTGCAGCGATCAATAACAAAGAACTTATTACATTGCTCGAAAATGAGCTGGAATAATCTACAGCAACATTTATCAAAGCATTTCACGAACTGGCACGAAGTTGAATTGAGCTTTTCATGCTCGCAAAACACAATTACTGATAGAAAACATATTGCCCTTCGGAGTCTTGGCGTAAGATTCAATTCTGATATTTCTAAAACTCTGCTGTGCGTCAGAACAATAAAGTATGAGGTTTCAACCTGGTATGAAATTGAATTGATCCGCCAGGCACACGAGAGGCGCCCCTTGTTCCGGCACAATTATTGAGAGCGAACATGTTTCGCTTTTAAGTCTTCGCCTGAGATTGAATTCTGATCCTTATGCACCAAGAGCATTAATCTAAGCATTTCAAACATGTATGAAGTTGGATTCAGCTATTTGATACGCGTAGCGGCCTTGCACTTTCACCTTGACCGCTGATGCAGTACAGCATTTCTCTTCTAAGAAGACTAAATACCTAAAATGTTCATCCATGAATAGTTTCATCAGGTTGGTAAGGCACTGAGTAAAGAGGCTCTCTTTTACACAACCAAGTCTTTTATTCAGCCGACGTTTCGGTGACCGTCTGTGACCTTCCTCAGGGTAATTCTTACTGATTCACATTGAACTGCAGCACAGGTGTCGCTGCTAAAAATGTTCCGTTTTGGTTCCCCGCTACATGAACGATTATCTGCGCAATTCCAACTTGTCTGAAGTTGAGCTCAGCTTCATTTCCTGCACATAAGACTACTGAATAGTCACCCTGCCGACATGTTCACTGATAGGAGAATGCTATACTTCGAGGCAGACTTTTGATGCTTAGACTGGCGCCACATTCTCTGCCATGTCTACAGTACACCCAGTAGTTAGTTCGCCCGCACGTCCGTGGTATCGACCTTAAAGTTTGTAAACGTCCATCAACGCTCCTATAATATATATGTGTATGTATGTATGTGTATATATATATATATATATATAGAGAGAGAGAGAGAGAGAGAGAGGGAGAGAGGGAGAGAGAAAGAAAGAGAAAGAGAGAGACAGGGAGGGACACACAGACAGACAGACAGAAGGAGATACGTAGGGGCAAGGAGAGACGGAGAGTCTCGTGTATCAGTTCTGATATCTATAGCTCGCTACTGTATAAACTGTACTTTATGTCTCTCTGCCTCTCTCTGTCTGTCCCTCTCTCTCTCAGTATGTGAGGTTTGCCATATTTGATGGCAGTTTGTTCCCACAGTGTCTAATGATCTGCCGTTTCTGACCGCTATTTTCCCACAGTGTGTTCCGTAACGGGGACAGCCTGACCCCCGCGACCCTGGTGGTGTTCCGCAGAGGTCAGCCGCCCCAGCAGGTGTTCGCTCTGCTGCGCGCCAAGATGAAGTTTGACGTCAAAAGGTGGGTCATGACCCTTCAACTCTCAACTCTGCCCTTTGACAATACATTTTTTTTACTCTTTCATTTTATGGTGCAAAGTACAGTGAACTCTCTTAACTTAATTTACACATCAATGACACTTAAGAGTCGTGTTACCTTTTACCTTCTGTCAATCTGCCTGCCAATCCCCCTACCCACGTGCTATCAACCTACTCTGGACAAGCTGGCTCAGCCGGCCAAGACAATAGTACTTTATACAGTAGTCGACCCTTATCCAGAATCGTGTCTGGGGCAAATCTAAGTTCTTGAAACGCGAAGACTATCCAGAACCATGCCTGACCCTAACCCGAACCCATTCAGGAATAGAGAAAGATAGGTACGGTTCTGGATGGTCCACCCTTATCCAGAACCATGCCTGACCCTAATCCGAACCCATTCAGGCATAGAGAAAGATAGGTACGGTTCTGGATGGTCCACCCTTATCCAGAACCGTGCCTGACCCTAACCCGAACCCATTCAGGCATAGAACTAGATAGGCACGGTTCTGGATAGTCCACCCTTATCCAGAATCTTGTCTGGGGCAAATCTACTTCGAGACTACCCAGGACCGTGCCTGATCCTAACCCTAACCCATTCAGGCATAGAATGGCGTCGGTGGCGCAACGGTTAGAGCGTTGGACTCGGAACCGAGAGGTCTCGGGTTCGATACTCACCGTGGCCCGACGTTGTGCCCTTGGGAAAGACACTTTACACGACTTCCCCACCTATACGGTGGAGTGACGCCCACCGAGCCTCTTAGGCTAATCTGTCTGCCAGGGTGCCAAAAACACCTTACGGATTTGGTGCGCCGATGTGACAACATCTCATATTGGCCACTGCGAGTCGTAATTTTTTTTTCAGGCATAGAGAAAGATAGGAACGGATCTGGATACTAGTACACCATTAATACTGTTGATTGTGGTTCCGTGTTTCCCCCCGGCAGTCTATACGTGCTGACGGGCCGGCGTGTGGGGGACCTGTCCCGCCTGAAGCATGGCGGGTATTACGTCGCGGCCGGACCGGAACGGTTCAAGAAGGTGGAGTACCGCGTGGAGGAGGACGCCTTCACGCCCCGGAAACGGAAGTAAGGGGTCAACTTATGTATTTATTTATGACGATTTACCACATTTGTGGAAGGATTGACATAACAGGTGACTATCACCTTTTCAAAGATGTCAAACCTGAGACCAGACTGTAATGTTTGAACCACTCACACCGGGAAGGTCCCCTACTCTTTTCGATAAGTGCGGTGGGTTCTTTAATGTGCGTGAAGTGTGACTCTCCCAAACACGGGAGCTCCATTTAACGTCCTATCCGAGGAACGTCCCTAGCCGAAGCTAGGTACTCATTTTCACCTGAGTGAAGTGAGGAAAGTCGTGTAAAGCACCTTTCCCAAGGGTACAACGTCGCGGCGCATGTTCGGACTTGTTCGGGTACGACCCGGAATCGAACCCGGGTCTCCCCGTTTCATAGTCCAGTGATGTACCACTACACCACACGACGCCACTTGTGTCGTTGTGGGGGGCGTGTGGCGTAACAGCAGAGTACTCGACTCGGAACCAAGAGGTCCCGGGTTCGAGTCCTGACATGCCACCGATCTTGTGCCCTTGGGAAAGGAACTTAACACGACTTTCCTAACTTCGCTCATGTGAAAATGAGCATTGCATTGTCCCGTGTTGGTGGCGGCATTAATATAAGTTTATAAAACTTGAGTGTGTCGTCACCACGTCTTGTGAGAATAAAAAAAAAAAACCTGTGTCGTAAAAAAATGTGGTTAGTGTAAGAAACTTTTAATGACAAGCGACGTCCATATAATAATATAAGGAAATCTAGAATTACAAGCCATATCCAAGCACGAAATTTATATTTGACTGACGAAGCAAAAACTTATTTTGATGAACCAATTCCATTTAAGGATTCATAACCATCCAATTCTTATACATTAAGTCTTAATATGGGACAAAGGCAACCATGTGATGATGAGAAAGTTCCACATAGGGTAAGCCGTGTCAAAACCATATAAAAGAACAGATATGCTATATTCCATCTTACGTTTCGAAGAGATTGGGAGGACAACATAATGCATTTGCAGTAACGCAAATGTCGGTCACCTGTCCCTACAGAGAGCCAAAGTATCTTGCTACATGTTACATAAAGTAGAAGAAAGTCATTGACTAAGTTGTAGGTAAAGCCGTACTTATGGTACTTCATGTCTACATTTGTAAATGGGCCATTTGTCTTAAACCGATGTCTAGCCGATGAGGGATTGAGTAAATAAAAACTGGCCTCTGGTGGGATTTCCCTTGTAAAAAGCATCGTTTGAAGCTACTTTGCTTTAAAGGGGGTCAGGAAAACTCCGTTCTATGTAGCGTTTAAAGGAAGGATTTGGGGAATTCCCGATGTTTATTGTTTATATAGTTACTAAAAGAGGTCGGCCGGTTGAGCCGTCATCTTTTGAAAGGCAAATAATTCAAAGAGATTCTGTTCAATGGCGGAGGGAATTCTGGCGGCAAAAAAAACCCACTTTCCTTACTCCCACGACGTCCGTTTGGAGAGGGAAATGCGTCTTGGTGGAACTTAAATCGGTTTTCTTACGTCTTCCGAACTTTCTCATCGTCCTACATTTCCTGATATAGACTTGACATGATTTACTATATATGTCGCTTACTAATACTAGCATATAGATCTGACTAAATGTCCTTATACGTACGGTCATGTCTCGAAAACTCCTTGGGACTTGGAAAAGCACTCACACTTCCTTATATGGACATGGCTTGCCAGTCAAAATTTCCTTTTATGGCCATGGCCTAAATCTCCTTATATGGCCATAGCTTGCCGATCGAAAAGTCCTTATTTGGATATGGCTCGTCAGTCAAAATTTGGACTTGTTTCGTCAGACCGAATGCCCTTATATGGACTTGGCTTGTTGCTCACATTTCCTTATATAGACTTCACTCGTCGGTAAAAATGTTCTTATAGTCACTTAAAAGTTTTGTGGACTTTCCCCCCTAGCGGCGTCCTGCCTCCTCTGAAGAAAGAAGCTCCGGAACAGGTCACAACAACAAAATGGCGGTCAGCTTCCAGGAAGGCCTTCATCGCCACCAGCATGGCCTGTACTGCAGGCTCCGCGCACAAGGTAACTATGGCAACGGTAACTATGGTAACCAGTATGGCCGGCCCTGTAGGCTCGGCAACCAAGGTAAGCATGGCGACGGTAAGCGCTATGACGCCTAGTGTCATGTGATTGGAAGGTGTGTGCGTGCAGCGACGGGTACAAACTCCCAGGCACCTTTGACCTTTTGATGTCATACCTTGCGTCATAGTAGCCTGGGTACCATCCCCAGTAGTATATTCGCAAACTCTATAACTGGGTCTGGACTTGCACACATATGTAGCGTCTGGAGTCTGAATATTCGTTCAGATTTTGAACGAGCGCGCTGATTGGTCCTACTCGTCTAAGCCCGTTTTGGGGTATGTACATATTAGGTAAGGGCCGTTCGGACGTCCGAACGGCGACGTTAGCGTCCGTTCGAACGTCCGAACGCCTTATCATCAACATGTCCGACGGCGAACCGAACGCTAAAGCGCACATGATATAGCCGTAGTCAGTCTTTCCGCGATAAATCATCAACATGGCTAACGCACAAGCCGCTCATCTCACGGAGGTTGATGTTGACCTCGCAATCACGTCCGTTTTGGACGATTTAGACGGAATATCGTCGCTCAAAAATGAGCAAAAAATGCATTGAATAATTTCGTTCGTGATGTTTTGGGCGTCCTACCGGTAAAAAAAAGAACGCACCGAGAAAAGGAACACTCGCGCGAAGATCTGTGTTTACAAAACAACAAACATCACTTGAATAATGCAGGCGCGCCATTGGCCGTCGCCTCTGAGGCTCAGCCAATCAAATGAAGCCCCGCTGCTCGGGCTAGCTCATTACGTGACGTCATGACCAATCGTTTTATATGTGTGCAAGTCCAGACCCAGTTATAGAGTTTGCGAATATACTACTGGGGATGGTACCCAGGCTAGCGTCATAGGTGGCTGGTATTTGAATCTGATGAAGGTTTTAGTACATGATATTTTGTATTATATTGAACAAAAGTAGCATTCAAAACTTATTATTATGTGCTATTGTTCCCATTATTATTTGCAATAAGACTTCGGCCAAGCGTTAACTGCAGACAACAACTTATAAGAACAATGTAACATATAATAAACCCTAACACTACAGGCGCGGAAGCCCGAAGCCCTGAGCGAGGCTACAGACCGGTCCGTGCCGCCCGCGCGCCTGCGGCTGGAGTGGGTGTACGGGTACCGAGGCTACAAGTGCCGCAACAACGTCCACTACAACGCCGCCGGGGAGGTGGTGTACTTCACAGCCGCCGTCGGCATCGTCTACAACCCCGACAAGCACACACAGAAGTTCTTCATGGGGCACAACGACGACATCATCAGGTGAGAAATACAAGATGTTATAACAAAAAATTTTGTTCTCTGATTTTGGGACAGGGGGCCTTGAAAAGGCATCTGCCTATTCCCCCTGGCCTGTCCTGTCCTTGTGACAAAGTTGAAATAAAGAAATGGATAGATAAATAAAAGAAGACTGTATTACCATAGCCTTTTGAGCCGTAGTAGAAATAGCATCTACAAGAAAAGTATTTTGTCCTCTAGTAAAAAAATGGATGGAGGTAGTCACATAGCCTTTTTCAGGTCGTAGGGACAATTAGTTGTTGATCCACGTAGGGTACGGTATTGGAAGGTGGAGCCCATCCCTCTCCTTCCACTGTTTTGTACCTCCCCAACCGAAGTCAGGTAGGCATTTTACACCTGGGTGGAGTGAGGAAAGTCGTGTAAAGGGCCATTCTCGAGGACACAGCGTCTAGCCAGGAATGCCAGGGATTGAAACCACTACCTTTCAATCTTGTGCCTGCTCGCCTAGCCACTTGGTCATTCGACGCGACTCTCTAGTAAATTATATTCTAGTTAAATACCATGTAACATGCCACGATCTCTCAATCCCGTGTTCGCTCGCGTAGCTAGTTGGTACTACAACGCCACTCTCTGGTAAAATAGTCCAGAGGAAATAACCTAATATTCTTTTTTGTCCTTTCAACCATTAGCCTAGCCCTGCACCCGGAGCGAACTCTCGTGGCTACTAGTCAGGTCGGGGACGGGTCGGGAAAGGTCGGGACGGTGCCGTACGTCTGTGTGTGGGACTCCAACACGACTCAGTCCGTATCCATACTGAAGGGCATGCACGCGCTGGGCGCCAGGATTCTCGCCTTCGACTTCACAGGAGAGGTATGGTGTATATGCCTAGGAATCACACCCAAAAATCACGCAGATAGGACTTGATTGACATATCAGTGATACGAGTCAGTTTCCAGTTGATTATACATGTGTATAGAAGTGTTGACTAGATATGCCAGTACATTCTATTGACGCTAAAGTGTGATGGGTGTCACTCGAAATGTACATTAAAATCTCCGTATTATATCTAGAAGTAGAATTTGAATAGTCTATGACTGGATGCCTTACTATACCTTCATCAACGCATATCACATATAAAGAATTCATCCACACTTACTTGAGACGGAGACTTACCTCACGCACCCCTCATTTTCTCACTACCCCACCAGCGTCTTGTATCAGTCGGGGTGGGTCAGCAGCCGGAGGTCGTGGTCTGGAACTGGAACAAAGGACAAGTTCTGGCTAGAGACGTGGCAGTAAACAGGGTACGTAGTCCTCTGTACTTTTTTTATAATCATTTTTATGTATTAGCCATACAGATTTGTCATGAAACTTACTGACAGTAGTAGTAGTAGTAGTAGTAGAAGTAGTAGTAGTAGTAGTAGCAGTAGTAGCAGTAGTAGTAGTAGCAGTAGTAGTAGTAGTAGTAGTAGCAGTAGTAGTAGTAGTAGTAGTAGCAGTAGTAGCAGTAGCAGTAGTAGTAAAACTAAAAAGTAGTAGTAGTAGTAGTAGTAGTCGTAGTAGTAGTAGTAGTAGTAGCAGTAGTAGCAGTAGCAGTAGTAGTAATAGTAGTAGTAGTAGTAGTAGTAGTAGTAGTAGTAGTAATAGTAGTAGTATAGTAGCATTCGTTATGACATTGCTTACTTCTTCCGACAACATTCTGTAAACGACATCTTAACCATTGTTATTCTCTGATAGGTATTTGATGTGAAATTTAACCCGTGGAAGCCTGAGCAGCTTGTCACGTGCGGGGTGGACCACCTGCAGTTCTGGACCGTGTCGCCAGAGGGAGGCATGACGTCCGAGGAGGGCGACTTTACCGACAACAGCCGCAAGGTGGCGCTGTTGTCGGTGGCGTTCGGCTCGGGTGACGTGGTGTACAGCGGCACGGAGAAGGGGGATGTGTACGTGTGGAGAGACGGGAAACTCAGCGCGCAGGAAATCGTACAGAACGCGCACGAGGTGAGTAAAACTTTTCGTGATACTATTTTATTCTTAGTTTTCGATATCCTATGTAAGGGTGAATTGAGACAGATCTTGTCACCGTTTATACATGTTACGTGCGCCCCTTGTGCGAGTACGCTGTACCGGTATGGAACCCTGGTCTCACCAAACTCCAGTCAACCCGTCTAGAGACAGTTCAACGCCGCGCATGCCGCACCATTCTGGGCAAGAAGTACACCTGTTACTCTGAAGCACTTACAGTCCTCGGCCTGTCTACCCTTGAAACAAGGAGAGAACTGCTGTGTACGAAGTTCGGACTCAGTCTACTGAACTCTGCTTCCTTCAGACATTGGCTCCCTCCATCTCGGGGCGAAGTCAGCGGGCGGAAAACCCGAACTAGTCACAAACTGAACTGTATTGTTGCAAAGACTCAGCGCTACTGCAACAGCTCCATCCCATATATTGTTAGCCTACTAAATAAGTAATCGAGCGTACTCGGTTACGACCTTCCAGTCATTGAGGGGTAATTAACTGTCATGCCTTAATAACACGTTTTGTTTAGTAGCCTTCTTTATGACCACTGTTTTACCTCGAATTCGTAATCTTAATATGTATTTTATCCAGCAATGTAAACTTATTAACATTTATAACTCTAATAGATTTTACCATATGTGTATATGTTTGTAATAGATGTTGTTCGATTTTAAAGCTTTTAATGGGTTGTAATTGTAAGTAACAGTGCAATTCAGAACCCCTGGGTTCTGCAAAACTGTTTTACGTCGTTATCAATAAACCAATCACATTGTTGTTGTTTTTAAGGATTTTAAAGTCCACATGCCTTAAGATGATATTTTCCTTGATTGTGTCTTGCTTGTGTCTTAGGATTTGGTCGCTATTAGGTATTTAATAATACCCTTATTGTGTCTGCAGATAACTTTTTATTGTGTCTTTTATTTAGATATTCGTTTATTTGATTTTGACTCAATGCAAACTATTGAAAACTATTTCAAAGGACCCTAAAAGTAGATGGTAACCTTACTCAGTAAAAGAGGTTTCAACTTTTCCTTGTATTTCCCAGAGTAAGGTTGTGTTTGTGGAGGCCCAGCTGACTGCAGATCCACGAGGGCCTGCTAGGGTGCGTGGTTTCTCCACCGTGTCGTCTGACGGGACAATCAACTTGTACGACGAGAAGTTCAGCCAGACCAACACCGTCAAACTCGGGGAGGGCGACAGGGGTAAGTCAATTCTCTCTGAAGCACAAGTCGATTCGTTTTGGTTGTTGTTGTTATTTCTAGAGTATATCCTTTTGGCACATAGGGCTACTGCACCTTCAGTACGATTTTGGAAGTACAAAAGCAATTGTCAACATGTATTCACTGTAATATACGTATAATCTTACAGTTTTTCTTTTACACTTGTTCCCTCTCGTAACTTGTGTTTATACCAGCCTTTAACCTTCTTACTGTAGCCTAACCCCGTAACCAATAAAGAACTGGAAGCCAAGTGTTTGTTTGGGGAGCCCTTTGCCCATGTCTGTTCCAGACTTGTCGGTTTGTAGCTCTAGAACATTCCACTGATCTAGAGATTGTATATTTGAGGCTGCCGTTCTGAAGAGGTCTAAAGTATTTCTGACGTCTTTTCCAGACCTGTCCGTTTGCAGCCTGGCCTTCTCGCCGACCACCCAGACGGTCCTGGTCGGCACGACGACTAACGAGCTGCTGGAAGTGGACATCTCTGAGCCTGAGGCGCCCCGCACCGTGCACGAGTTGGTCCAGGGGCACGGTCCGGGCGAACTGCGGGCGCTGGCTGTCCACCCGTCCGAACCCAGCTTCCTAACGGCCGGGGAGGACCACACCGTCAGGTTAGTTACAGTTTTCTCTGACATCTCTGAGCCTGAAGCGCCTCGTACCATGCACGAGTTGGTCCAGGGGCACGGTCCGGGCGAACTGCGGGCGCTGGCCGTCCACCCGTCCGAACCCAGCTTCCTAACGGCCGGGGAGGATCACACCGTCAGGTAAAACTGGTTTAGTTATATGTTAAAGTTAAATCTTTTGGTCCAACACACAAAATAGTTTTCTCTCCTAGAGCTTTCGACCAGTCACTCTGGTCTTCCTCAGTAGACTGACCCAGTGAAGCTTGTCACGTGGCTTCTTTGAAGTGTAACGTCAACACTGGGTCAAAGGTAGACGATGTCGCCCCCCGTCGCGGTTTAGTTATAGTTTTCGCTGACCTCTCTGAGCCTGAGGCGCCTCGCACCGTGCACGAGTTGGTCCAGGGGCACGGCCCAGGGGAACTGCGGGCGCTGGCTGTCCACCCGTCCGAACCCAGCTTCCTAACGGCCGGGGAGGACCACACCGTCAGGTAAAATAAGTTGTCGGCATGCCTGTACTTGGCTTTAATGATCATGATAACCATCATTCTAGCATACTCATCTCCACCTGAGTGAAGTGAGGAAAGTCGAGTGATGTGATTTCCCAAGGTGGTGACTTGGCAGGATTTGAACTTCGGAACTCTTAGTTTTGGGCCGAATGCCCCTCACAACCACAATTAAAATGGCGTTTATTATCGTGGTTCTTACACTCCAGGATGGCGGTGCCCACACTCCAAGATGGCGGAGTTTACACTCCAAGATGGCGGTGCCTACACTCCAAGATGGCGGTGAATACACTCCAAGATGGCCGTAGCCATGTGGCTCGATGTTAAACTTAACGTGTGTTGTTTTTTGTTCAAGGAACTCTATAATATGATAAGTTTCAGGCAAAGACAAACTTCTTTCTATCCTCACTTCAGGATCTGGAGCATGAAGGACCGAGCTCCCGTGCTGCGCCGCGAAGTGCATGATGGGACTGTCATGGCGGCGGCGTACAGTCCGGACGGCTCGCACATCGCGCTGGGCATGAAGGACGGCAAGATAGAAATACTGTACAAGAGGTGAGGCTACTTACGGAGTTTTTAAGTCCACTTAGTACACTGTCAGACTCTGTAGATTTTCTTTAATTAAAACTATGAACTGTGAAGACAAAACAAACTCAAGTGATGGCGCTTCAGCACCATTCAAGAGGTGTGCCGTCGAACAGTTTGTGTTTTGAGATGTAGTATGAATCAAAACTACAGCTTCTTGTTGAAACTATTGACTTTGAAGGTTGTAGTTCAAGGCAGGATCAAGTGATGGCATTTCAGCACCATTCAAGGATTTTTATTGAAATCAGTGCAACAATCCTAGTTTTTATCAAATTGTTATCGGGTAGGATTATTTCAATCTTCGTGGCCAAGGGCTCAAATACGAGAAGCTTACGATTGGTGGCGCTGAATCACAAGGGTCTGGAGCGGCTGCCAATAAGGACCTCAGTACGACCCCAGGTACGGCCACAGGACTGTAAACTTTCGAACACTGTACCCTTGCAGAGACATGTCCCAGAAGACGGTGCACGTCACGTCCGACACCCTCGGCCAGGCGATTTGCGACCTGAAGTACTCCCCGGACGGGCGGTACCTCGCCGCGGCGTCGCACGACGGTCGGGTCGCAGTCTTCGACCCCACCGCCAACTACGACAGCGTCCGGCAGTTTCCCGCAGGCAGCTATCCCGTCATGCACATCGACTGGTCCACCGACAGCAGGTTCCTACAGACTAACGACGAGCAGGGAGAGAGGGTGGTTTACAAGATGCCTGGTAGGGAGTACACACTGTAAAGACATTTTTGAAAGCCAAACAAAATTGATATTGTGCTTTAGTAGACATTCCCAGCCCCGAAGTATCCCAAATTTTATAAGCGAACGGAAAGAAAATAATCATGATGAGAGATAGAATTACCATGTTATCCGACGTATTTCTCCTTTTCATAGATGGTTGCAATTGATGGCAATTTCGACATGAAATCATTCATTGATAGCTCTCCAAATGGCTCAAACCTATAGATTTGGTGTACCTTACAACCGAGCTACCAGCATACATACCATTACATCCACTCCATCAGAAGGCTCTTTTTCGGAAGCAACACAATATGGACCTCCAACATGGATTTAGTTGTATATAAGTTAAATGAGAAAAATGCACAATATTCTACTAAGCCCTACAGAAGGGTAACCAACATCTGCTGTAAGTTGATACCTTTTCGCCATGTTTCCAGAAGGCAAGATGGCGACGAAGCGTGACGACCTGACGGCGATAGTGTGGGACACGTGGACAGGCGTGCTGGGGGACGAGGTGCAGGGCATCTGGGCAAAGTACAGCGACCTCACGGACGTTAACACCGCAGACGTGAACTTTGACCACGGCGTCATGGTAACGGGAGACGATCAGGGATTGGTCAAGCTCTTCAGGTTCCCCTGCATCAGGAAAGGTATGTCTGGGCGTACTTGCATTGAAACAATAGAAATATTGGTCACTCCAAACTATTTGAGCCACTATATTGAAAGTTTTAACAGTGTAAAGTGCCAATCTCCATAATCTCCACCAGACTCCTTTGCAGGCTGAGAATTGTAGAAATCGGCCTCAAAAGAATGTAGCTGGCCATGGGAGTTGGCCGGCCATAGTGGGTACAACTTGCCTGCCGGTATGCCGATTTCTATTACTTATTTAGCCTGAAAAGGAGTCTGGCAAAATCCACTTGGTCAATTGTTAGAGTATACAATGCTTTAAGATCTACCATTCAGATGTACAATCTTCTTCTGTGCACTAGACAAAATCCAAAACGAGATCTATATCTTTATCTGTACAGAAGGTATAACCGTCCCTCGGCGTAACACACCTAGATGATCAATTTCTTCGAACTATTCACTGTAATTTTTCTTCGGCAGGAGCAAAGTTCCGGAAGTATGGTGGTCACGCGGACCACGTGACGAACGTGCGGTTCAGCTGCGAGGGGAGCCGCGTGGTTTCCATCGGAGGGGCGGACAGCTCGGTCTTCCAGTGGAAACTACTGCCGCACATACAGGGGTACGGCGATGGGGCGGACCTCAGCGTTACAGGTGCGTTATTAACGCGTTACAGGTGCGTTATCACTGCGTTACAGGTGCGTTACAGGGGTGGACAGCTCGGTCTTCCAGTGGAAACTACTGCCGCATATTCAGGGTTACGGCAACGAGACGGATCTCAGCGTTACAGGTGAGTCATCACTGCGTTACGGGTGCGTTATCACTGCGTTATGGGTGCGTTACAGGGGCGTTACAGCTCGGTCTTCCAGTTGAAACTACTGCCGAATATGCAGGGGCACGGCAACGGGGAGGACCCCAGTGTTACAGGTGAGTCATCAGTGCGTTACCAGTGCGTTACAGGGGCGGACAGCTCGGTCTTCCAGTGGAAACTACTGCCGCACATAAAGGGCTACGGCGACGGGGAGGACGTCAGCGTTACAGGTGCGTTATCACTGCGTTACAGGCGCGTTGTCACTGCATTATGGGTGCGATATCACGGTCTTCCAGTGGAAACTACTGCCGCACACCCAACGCTATGATAACGGCGTAAACATCAGCGTTGCAAGTGAGTCATCACCGCGTTACCAGCGCATCACCACAGCGTAACACCTGGTTCTGACAGATACCCAGAAGTCGATACCGCCCACCGTTCCTGTTGAGAGCGGGATGATGAGAAGCTCTGATGTCTACTATTTCCTCCAGGCCCTTCACATTGCTCTGTGTATAGATCCTCGTGTTCCTGTGACCAAAATTGAGCATGGCATAGTAGTATAGCATAGACCGAAATCGGTATAAAGTCGCTAACTTTGTTTATTTTTTCCAGACTACGTCTCGTCAGACGAGGAAGAGGCAGACTCTGACCTGTCGGACGCGGATCTCGACAGTGACGTGGAACAGGAAGCGGAAGTGACGTACGACAGGCACGTGTCCAAGGATGACGTCAAGAAGAGAAAGAAGAGCTTCAAATACATGACGTCAGGCGTGGAAAGGAACAAGCCGCCGTTTGAGAGCCTACAGCTCAAGTTTGTGCATGGGTAAGACATCCCATAAACGTCTTGTACCTTCTCCAAGAAGGCTCGTGGTATGTTGGGGTCCATGTCCTGTGCGTCTATGTGAGCGTCTGTGATAGAACGTCAGATCTTAATGATTTTCGACACGTGTTAGGGCCCTGAAGGTCCAGTTCCTTTGTAGCCTCCACCCCTGTCGGCTTTTATCTATGGGCTAAATCTTATGGTGTCGAACAGACGCTCAATATACTGTTGCTTCATTGTATTGCACACAGGACTACAGGAATAACCTGCACTGTACATGCGGAACGGCATGTTGGTGTAAGATGGCATGGCTTTGTGGCCTACAGGCGTTTGTAGGACAAGCTTGCAAGACTGTAAGCGCTTACAGGCTTTCATGACACAGGCTTTCGTGTATTCATGCACTTCTTCGCCCAGGTATCGCGCCCAGGACTGCCGGAACAACCTACACTACACGTGTAACTAACGGGGAGGTGGTGTAACATGTCCTGCCTGTGTGTGGCTAACAGTCGCGTGTTATACAGGCTTACAGGCTTGTATAATACTGTCTTCCATGCTTTACCTTCAGGTACCGGGCCCAGGACTGCCGGAATAACCTGCACTACACGCGGAACGGCGAGGTGGTGTACCACGTGGCGGCGGTGGGGATCGTGTACGAGCGGGACTCCCACAGTCAGAGGTTCTACCTGCAGCACACGGACGACATCCTCTGTCTCTCCAAACACCCTACTGATGACATCTTCGCAACGGGACAGGTACAGACAAGTGCTAGTCTTTGTTACACAATGTCTCACACACACAACACATACACACTGGGAGAATGAGAGAGAGACAGAGACAGACAGACAGACAGACAGAGATAGAGTGTGTGTGTCTCGCTATCTGGGGCTGGGCTGACTTGGGCCTCCTCCCAGACAGCTTGTGGCCATATACCTCTAACTAGATAGGACCATTCCTGTTCCCAGGAGTACCTACAGTTGCTCAGTACTTAGCTCAGTATTTTCTATTTTGACAAAGTAACATCTTTGGAAAGAATCGTGTTCAAAGATCCACCCACATGCTCGAATGTTTACGACAGCGAATTGGGGCACCCTTAGAAATGCTGCTGGGCTTTGTTGTGTTGTTTGACAGTTTAGGTACTCACATATTATTAGGCTACACATCTAAAGTTCTCTTGACCACTCCCTTTGCGTTGTTCAGGTGGGGAAGGACCCAGCCATCCATGTGTGGGAGTCTGAAAACATGGACAGCCTGGCTGTACTTCAGGGACAACACGCTAGGGGCGTCTGTGAGCTGGACTTCACCGGTAGTGTATCCTCACAAAACATCTCCTATTAACAGCAACACCGTATGCAAACATGAATCATAGAGACTGTACTGATCTAGCCAATGCCAGGCTACGAGAGGCGGCTGGAAAGAGTAGAAATTGGCCAAATTGTTCAAAGGTACATTTCTATGTCTAAAGGACCAACTCCCTGGGCATGTTATCTCTCTATTTGGCCAATTTCTACCAAGTTCTAGCCACCTCCCGAAGCCTGGTAGAGGCTACTGGTATTATTTAAGATGCAGTAGCTCATTGTAGTGCCACAGTTTAAGTGTATAGTAGAAACTGACTCAGATAACTCTCAATGGTACACCTTATTTGCCCTCACAGCGGCCGGTACGAGACTAGCCAGTGTAGGGCTGGATGACGACCACTCTATCGTCATCTGGGACTGGAAAACCGCCACGCCGCTGGCAAAAACCAAGTAAGCATCTCTATCCACCTTTAGTGTTCAACTATCTTTGGTACACATATAGTTGAATTAACTGATCATCATATTCGCGATATTTCAACCTGATTTTCCTCTAAAGAGTGGGTTGCAGTTGACTTAAAATAACATTAAAATGCGTAAAATGGCTCAAATCGCTAACCATTCGCTAAAGGTTTACATTTATAAAGAGGTGGTAAAGATTGAAAGACAATTTGCTTAGACTATTCTAGATGAAGAACCATCTTTGCTCCACTCGTTCCTAATCACTCCTGACCTGTGCCCTTTGCTCTGCAGAGGTCACAAGGATAAGATATTCGGTGTCCAGTGGAATCCGTACGACAGCGCGCGGTTTGTCACCATCGGCATCAAACATATCAAGTTCTGGACCATGTCAGGTAGGCACAAACAATGCGAAATTAACATTTTGGTCTTTTGAGACATTTGGTGGCCATTTAAATACATGTTTCCAAAGACTCATGTAATGTTGATAACAGAGAAATTTCAAAGAAACAGCGCACAAACACACACGAACAAACACACCCACCCACGCCCACATGCACACACACACACACGACACCACACACACATACACACACACACACAAACACACACACACACCAGCACACACACACACTCACACTCACACACACACATACACACACACACACACAAACACACACATACATACACACACACACACACTTACATAACACAGTTACACTACTAATAGCTGGTTTGAAGCCATGTCCATGTAAAGCAAACTATCCTAGAAACATACCTTACAATAAAGTTACATCCGCATCTCTCCCATACCTTCCCCAGGAAACAGCTTCACCTCCAAACGCGGGATTTTCGGCTCGGCAGGTGAGATCAACTCCATGGTGAGCGTGGCTCACGGCGGAACACCTGAGGACGTCTTCACAGGTGCGCCGAGCGGCCAGGTGTACGTGTGGCGCGGAAACAACCTGGCCAGGACTGTCCAGGCGCACAGCGGCCCGTGCTTCTCCGTCAAGGTCGACGGACACGTAGGTTCTGGTTCGAATCCGCCGCCATGTTGGATAGCGTAGCGCGGTGCACGATGGGAGAATGCTTGTAGTTCAGATATCAAACGCTAGGTGGCACCACTGAATGGAGACCTGTAGTGCACATTTTGAAACAATGGGCTAAGATTAAGAAAACGCCGCTAATGTGTGACTTGGCGGGGACTTTTATTGGATGTGATCATGAGATATCAACTGTATGCTATAACATGCCATCAGATGGTATGTTATTTGCAATCTTGAATTTTCAAGTACAAGTAACATTAATATAACCAGCCTGTATATAATGTCCTTGATGTAACAAATGCCAGTATTAAATCACTGAATCTGTACTACAGATTTGACAAAAATTACAATAGCGAATAACAACTGCATACTGCAAATAGCTTTACAAATGTAGTTCAACGTTAATTCTTTCCAACATTCTGTACCCGCTTTACCGTGTAGGACATCCTGACGGCCGGTAAGGACGGCGTGGTGTGTGTGTGGACCGAGGGGTTCTCCAAGTGCGTCAAGCGCTACACCATCAACCGGCACTTCCTGCAGAACCCGCGGGCGGCGCTTCTGGAGGACAAGCCGCCGGTCCGCACGGTATGCGCCGGGGAGGGGACCGTGTTGGTGGGGACCAAGAACGGAGAGGTGCTGGAACTGGACAGGGCGACCGGCAAGTTTGGCATCCTTGCACAGGTTAGTAAGGACATAAGGGCAGACATACATACACACAAACGGACACACACACACGCGCGCGCACACACACACACACACACACACACACACACACACACACACACAAACATACACGGTGTGTGGACTGTCCTGGTAGGGACCAAGAACGGGGAAGTGCTGGAACTGGGCAGGGCCACCGGCAAGCTTGGCATACTCGCACAGGTGATACACACACACACACATACGTACAGACATACGTACAGACGGACACACATACGCGAATACACTCTAGAAAGAGAGACAGATAGATAGATAGACTGACAGACAGACAGACATAAACACTCTCAAAATCACACATTATAGAGACTTACCATTACCACCTATCTTACCACCCTTAGAATATCGTACATGTGGTCAAGTATGCAGGGTATATATCTTTGATAAACGTAACCACATAAACTCCATACACCCCATTCCCTATTCCCTAGGGCCACATGGGCAGGCACCTAGAGAACGAGCTATGGGGCCTCGCCGCGCACCCGTCCAAGCACGTGGTGGCGACGGTGAGCGACGACAGGACGCTCCGTCTGTGGGACGTGGCGGATAACGTGATGCTAGCGGCGCGGCGGCTGGACACCGGCGGGAGGTGCGCGGACTTCTCACCGGACGGGAGGATGCTGGCGGTCGGGCTCAACAACGGTAGGAGTTTATGGGTTGTTTTTTTTAATATTCCAACATGTAGTCACAAGACGTGGTGACGGCACACTCAAGTTTTTTCAGCTTATATTAATGCCGTCACCAACACAGGGGACAATACAATACTCATTTTCACCTGAGCGAAGTGAGGACGGTCGTGTAAAGTGCCTTTCCCAAGGGCAAGAGATCTGTGACATGTCAGGACTCGAACCCGGGACTCTAAGTTCCGAGTCGCGCACTCTGCCGCTACGCCACACGACCCCACAACGTTGGGAGTTTCTCCTCTGTCTTTCAGTTAAACTAAATTATATTGATTGACTGATTGATCCTCCATGTTAAAGTTGAAATAAAAAAAGTCAATCTACACACTCAGGAAAACGACGAGCTATTGGAGTTTTAACTAACTAAGCCTTTCACAAAAATCACTTCGTGCACCTACGTTGATAAACAACAGTGGAGGGTCAATGGTGACTGGAAGTCTGTATCGCCCCCATCTTCAGTGTAATAATGGTTCATTCTGATACCCATTCATCCTGTATAGTGATGCTTTAAACACATATTTAGTGCTTTTAATTATGTCTGTAAGATATAGGATCGATAGCTTGTTGTTCCTTGCAATTTTCTTCAGGAAGCTTCTTCGTTCTTAACCCTGAGACTTGGGAGATCAAGACCAAGTTCCACCACCGGAAGGAGAAAATATCGGACATCCGGTTTTCTCCAGGTAAGATGCAAATAATTATTCCTTCTTTGAAACTACAATGAAACTGAAAAAAAACTTAGAAAATAACGCAAGTAGCTTATAAGACTAAATGAGTTTATAAGACTAAAGGAGTTTTAAAGTTTATTTTCCAAGGGTGCTCTGTGATAAAGATGATAAAAGAGTATAACGAAAGACAAGTTCACGTACAATTATACATGCGGATTCTGAGACGCGAACGCAAGAAAGTAGAAGAAAAGACCGGATTATAAAGCAGTTTGCAAGTTTTCTTCTAAGAAGGCTTTCTTCCCTTCCCCTTCCTTAGACGGAAAGTACCTTGCGGTTGCCTCCCATGAGAACCACGTGGACGTGTATAACATGGAGAAGGGGAAACGTGTTGGGATCTGCAAGGGAGCGTCCAGTTACATCACTCACATCGACTGGGAGGGGACAGGTAGGTGAACAACATTTCTATAGACTATACTAATCTAACTCTAAAACCTACAGGCTGTATACTTTTGAAGTAACAAAAGACGCTTCTCACAGCCATAAGACTGGAGTGCTGCTATCATCTCTAGAAATGGATAGATGTGCTACTATGCATTTTAAGACATTCTGACGTCTAGATACATTACTTATACGATAACGGTTAGTTAGACAGCCTGGTAGAACAAACTTTGTTTGACGTTTCAGACAGCGTCCACTATATTTCACCGGTGACAGAGACTGAGTCTGTGATGACAAGTTAAACTGAGCATAAAATTGATGATGAAAACTAAGTACTAGTAGCTTCTGGTCAACCCGTTGGGTCCATGGGCTAATTCCAAAAGCTATCGACTATGAACTTCTCAGAATTGATTTCTGGATTTTCTATTTCCACCCTTATTAGGACGTGTCCTGCAGGTAAACTCAGGTGCTCGGGAGCGGCTGTTCTTTGAGATCCCGCGGTGCAAACACCTGCCCATTCGCGAACCCGACAAGACGCTGCAGTGGTACACGTGGACAAGTGTGCTGGGTCAGTAGTATATAATGGACCTTAGGAGTCAAATACTCGGGGTGGTACAGCAATGGTTCAAGTTACACATTACATTAGATTACAACAACATCGGCAGTTGAAAATTAAATTTTTATGTAAGAAATCTTGGTCTGCCAGAATCTAATCTATTGATTAATATAAAACAATAAAAAAACAAATATTTCTATTACTTTAGGTCCGCTGTCCAGTGGGGTGTGGCCGGCCGGATGTGACGTCACAGACGTTAACGCCGTTTCCGCCTCCCACGACTGGAGCCTGCTGGCCGCTGCTGACGACTTCGGCTTCGTTAAACTCTTCAGGTTCCCCTGTGATGTAGGTTGTTGGTAGAATTAAACGTTTTAAAGGTGTTTTAAATGTTCGTCTTGTATGTTTGTCAAAACTTAATAAAGATGATTTTAACTCTCTATTTTTGAAGTAACTGTTAGGAAACGTGATTATTTTGTGTGTCTTCTAACTGAATGTTACTCTTCCTTGACCATTGACACAAATACATACAGTTTACGCTTATCAGAAAATATACAGTATGTGTGTATGTTTGTTTGTTTGAGATACATGTATATAGAGGTCGGTTAGAGAAAGGGACAAAGAAATATGGAATAGGAGGAAGATATGTTAACAGTTTTGTTGGCTTGCTGTCTTAGCCTTACAAATTTTTAAATAAAAAGGGATGCTGATCTTTTTCATCTGTAATATTTGCATCTTTACTTGTTGCTTTTATGTCTGATACGTTGCAGTTTTGTTAAAGCGTCGTCTATTTTATTAACCGAAACCCTACCCCACAGGGCGACTACGCCAAGTTCAAGAAGTACCTGGGGCACAGCAGTCACGTGACGAACGTGCGCTGGTCACATGACGACACGCGGCTGGTGACGTCAGGCGGGATGGACACGTCACTCATGGTGTGGGTCCGCCGCCGCAGTGCACCACGGGACGGCGGCAGCTGCGACTCTGACGATTCCGACACAGACATGGAGGACGGGGAAGGTGATGACGTAATCATCACGTGGACACTCTTAGCCAATCATAATGCACCGTTTGCTATCCTCCCAGCACTCACTCACTCACTCACTCACTCACTCACTCGCACACTCACTCAACCCAGGGCATTGTCACTCCTACGGAGGAACCCCTTCCTTGGCTCGCTCCACTCTCGTCTTAATCTGGCATTTCTAGGCCATGCAGGGCCCAGGTGTTGCACAAGACTGTCCCCCACATCCCAGCAACCATGACAAACTATGCAGATTTTCCTATAATGTCACTCGTGCCATGTTGGAGTGCAGGTATGCCTGTTAAACACGATAATTTGCCAAGTGTAACCCACTTACCCACCAACATGGCTGCTGGGTACTCATCATCATGATCATTACTACAATAAAGACGCCAATGAACAGCCCAGACAGACCTTTAAGAGTTATTTTTCTCTGTTTGCAGATGAAGAAGAGGAGGATGATGATGACGATGATGTTGTAGACGAGGTGGAAAGTAAGTTAAATTATAGTGGCTTTTTATCAATAGCTAATACTATTTCTTGTAAAAGGAAAATGTTACCAGTGACTTTTCTGGATCTGAGAATCTTTGACGCAAATGACCAGTGACTGAGAAAATCTTGGTATTAAGAAAGGCCTCTGTGGCACATATAAAACACGTCTGGTCAAGATAGTAAAAAAGTAAGAATTGCATTGTCACAAGATGTTTTTTATACAATGTACGGGACATGTAATTCACGTAAACGTTTTAAAAAACCCGTCTTATTAGACAACATAGACAGACACGAACAGTGCCTATCCACGACATTCTTGTGTGAAAACTGTGGCAAGTACTGCAGAAGTAATGCTGGTTTGGCGGCACACCGCCGCACCCATCGTACTTGATTGGAGCAGATCGTCCGTCAGGACGACAAGACTGATGATGATAATACAGGTTATGGGCTTCACCTTTGACATCGCACATTCCGCATGTAAGACTGTGAACCGGCTTATTGTATCCCCCAGAATCCCGTGCGCTGTTCGCCATGGCTGACGTGGACAGTGATGGCACCGTGACGTCATCCGAGCTGGCCAAGGCGCTAAGGAAGCTGGGATACCGCCCCACCGAGGCCGACATCCGGGACATCCTGGCGGCGGCTGATGACGAAGAGACAGAAGGAACCAATGGCGACAGCGGGGTGGATCCGGGTAGGTTAATTAAACCACCGAGTGAGCGCAGCAACCAAGGCCGGCAATAACATGGGATCTGATTGATCGAGGTCTTCTGACTATATGATGATTTTTGTATATTTTAATCTCCATTGGTTTTCTGAACAAAAGCAATCATTGCGCTTAGCTCTTTTAGTATCTGTATTAATATGTCCTCTAAAGACAATGTAAGGTGCAATCATCGGATTTGCAAGTAATTCTTAGCTCTTCTTTAGTAATAGTGACCCATATGCCTCCTACACGTAACCTTACAAAATGTGACATCAACAAGATATTACGACACTCTTCAACCTGTGTAAAGTAATTACATTTTTAGATGAAAACATATGCATTATCTTCTTTCCCCCAGGCGAAAGCGACTCCCTGGACTTTGAAAGGTTCCACCGGGCGCTGACTACCTACAGGGACAGATGGGAGAGGTGAAGAGACCGTTGGGAAGCGCCCTCTGCCGGAAAAGTACTGAAGTGCACATGATCCCCAGTATCTGAGAGACTAGCCATACTTGCACTAACTTTTAAAGTTTGAATTGATTTACGGTTTCAAAGCGCAGCTTTTATATGTGACTTGTCTGAAGAAAATGTATACTTGCTGTCAGTTTTGCACGCCATGTTTTTACACATTTTCTAATCGTCATCAATTTGTATGGAAATCTTTATGAAAATGGGAGATTATGTTACGTTTTTACATTGTATACACAGAAAACCAGGCTGTCAAGCATGCAAAAAGCACGAGATTCAAGCCTTTGCTATGAGTTGTCCACATGCAAAAGACCAAGAAATATGGATAATCATTTTAAACAGAAAGTTTGCATTGTACCATTTTGACGTGACTGCAGTTCAAAGTAATCTTTGTAAATCGTTGTACAGATCGTTCCTTTGTGCCAAACTGTGCGTAGATTTTCTATTTTTGAAGAAATTGATATCAAAGTATTCGTATGATACACAGATAATTAAAAAGCCTCTCACCACTTCTATCACAAGAACAAGACAGTTGTATAACTTAAAGCTGATATAAAGAGCTACCTGAAACGAATTTCAATTGAAAGTAGTTATCAATGATGCTGACCAGGGTTATTTGGAAAAGCTTATCTAGTAAATGTATAGCAAACAGTATAAGGAAAAGAATATAGTCTTAAGATTTAAGTTTCTGCAGTCTTTAGATACACCCTTTGTAAAATATGGTGTGCTTCATATTTCTTGAAGTTCAACTTTTGTGAAAATCTATGAATTTCGAATGATCTTTGTAAATTGTACCATGAGATTATTTGCACTGTGTATTTGAAATGTACATGATTTCAAATGCGGGCTATTCCCTTATTTTTGTGGCAGCTGAATTTATTCATATTTTCCACGTAAAGTCATCATCTTATGCATATTACAAAGACTAAATGAAAAGTTAACCATTCTGTAAAATAAGCACAAAAAACGAAACCTTATGTATCTAGTTGAAAATGATTGTCAATAAAGAAAACTGTGAAATCTATTTCTTCTTATTCTCCGACATTCAAAACAATGTAGTAATCACAGAGTGTATACAATAATGTACATGATTCTTCTTTTCAAACTTTATCATTCTACACATACATAATATTCTTCCACGATATCCTTACATGCATATTAGACATTGCTTTTAACGATGCACACTCATAATAATGTGCCTCAATGATTTAACCAATGTTGAAGATTTGACATAAAAGATTTAACAATGCCTTACCTGTTTCACACTAGGCACAGAAACATTTGGAAGTACAATATTTATCAATAGGCTAGTCACAAATTTAACCAGTGATATCCTTCTAAAATGTGATCTAAAACAATTGGAATGATTGTGAATAGGTACATAGACGCTACAATAATGTGTAGGTTGGTTGGCACTGGTCTTGGAGTTAATTTATTGGCAAGATTTTCCGTCTAATGTGTAGATTATTTACATCATCTGCAGTCTGTTTTCTGTACAGTACATCCAGCTAGAACATGGCTTATTTTTTACATACATCATAGCATAAAGTACAGTGACTAAGTAGGAGTACAAGAAGCAGTTTTAATCATCTGTACACATGGAATTTGTTCAGCTAAAAAGTTTAAAACATAAAATGCATGCAAGCTCATCCACACACTTCGACAAGGATTTTTCAATTTTTTCTAGCCATGCATGATAAACATTTCATCTGCATTCTCTTCTTTATTACACTAACTTTAATTTTCATCTCTGATATAAGTTTCCATGATCTCTATCTAGATACAGACTTTATATTTACAAGGATTACAGAAGTGTATGGCCACAAGTTCTCGGGGAAGAGGCCCAATCAGCCCAGGCAGCAAGAGATTGTGTAAGAATCACAGCTTTGATATCACTTGCATATTGACCAGCATGTCGGCGGAACATACTGCACCTGCACAAAACCTGCTACAGTAAATGTATTGTACATAGCACTCTGGCAGAACGTCTCATATAATGTCGTATTCGCATATATTAAGTTAACATCCCGTCTGTAGTTTCCAATTGTTAATTGTCAGAAAAAATATCGTCTGCAACAGACAAAATTCTAATGCAATGTTGATCAAACTGATGATCCAACAAAAACCTTGGAAAATCAGGGTTTCATGCAGGTGCAGTACGTTCAACTTACATGCTATATAGACCCTATCCCTGACTTTCTGGGTACCAATATGTCGTATGATCCTACATGTTAGACATGCCGTATGATCCATGTTGTTGTTAGACTCTCTTAGGTTTGAGAGAGTTGAGTAGAGGCTGGTCTCCGCTGATGTCGGTAAAGTCGACGCTGGTGGCCTCGTAGATGGCCTGGACAGACGGACGGGGCTGGTGGATACTGCTGGTTTCCACATAGTCATGGACCCGACGGGATCTGGAAAGGGAATGATAGGCAAGAATTTACACTCAAGAATGCCTCAGAATGTAACTTGTAGTACCAGCAGTAACAACTAGGTGTCTCTTCTTAATATATTAAAATCGCTGGTTTCAATATAATCCTGAACTTCATGAGATATGGGAACAGAATGCAGACAAGTAGTTTTTTACCCAACACTGCATCAGAACTAAACTTGCAGTGCTAACAGCAACAGCTGGTGTCTCTCAAACAGAGGTCATGAACTTCATGAAGATAAGATTTGCAGTTGGAATGATAGACCCAACAGTTGGATCCAACTTACAGTACCACCAGTACTAGCTAGGTGTCTCTCTTAACAGTAATCTAGGAGATTAGGATACAAGAGTTTGCTTTTTACACAACCAAACTATCTAGGAGATTATCTGGCATAATGGCAGAGCTTTTTGTTTAGAACAACTTGGTATAATGATTAAATATTAAGTAAAAACTCCCACACACCTCCGAACCGGAGTGCCAGACCTGCTCCCCGTGTCCTCAATCGACACCCTCCTCGACCTCTGACCGTCGTCAGGCAACGAGTCAAACTCGTCGTAACCTTTGAACCAGTGGTGGGCGCGGCACACGCCGTACATCACCACGGCGATCACGGCGACGAAGGCGGTTGCTAGGATACCGGTGACTGTGTAGAGGATGCGCATGTGCTCGTGGAAGACTGGGGAGTGGTAGAAACCCGTGTCTCCTTCTGCCTCCAGGGATACATCTGAGGGGGAAACAGGAGAAAAACATGTAGCTAAATCAATCAATCAAGCAATTAATCAAAACTGGTTTTATTGGTAAAATGGCGTTGCAGCCAATGACTTAATTATGCCTTCTGTACATAAAGTATATTTAATACATATAGTTTAAAGAAAGGACATTACAAAAAATGTAGATCAACAAATTCAATTTCTTGGATGAATTTTTAGTGTTTAGTTTTAGTTTTAGTTTTAGACATTGGAAGTGTCAACTAGCTTTCATCAGTGACTCACTCGGTCATTCTCAGTCATGGTAAACTCCAAATTAATTCTTCAGAATAAACTTTGAATCATCATCATCATCAGGTCGGGGGCTCCCGAATAGTCAGGAATATAGCACCAAAATTTCTGATTCTGGTGATTTTCTGGGTAAGTACAACTCTAGGGCAAACTTAAAAAATGGGTACATATCAAAACTAGCCAAATTGTTAAGTTCTATATGACCAACCTGTACAGTCCTTCCCTATGTACCCCTCCATGCACACACAGATGTACTCAGAACCGTGCGGCTGGCACGTTCCACCGTGTCTGCAGGGGTTGTTCTGGCACGGGTTCACCTTAAACTCACACTGGGAACCTGCAAGGAACAAGCCAAGACATGTCTTAGACATGTATAGGGCAATGAGGCTTGCATCTTCCTTGTTTAAACAGTCTAACAAGGATTCACCTAGGCTTGGGTCGATTCACTTAAGACTTAAACAAACAAATAAACCTAGACTTCACACTGAAAACCTTAGGAAAGGAACACTTTAAGGTGTGACATTACTTCGTAAGTCTTAGACATACTTAGAAATCTTGGCAGTCTGTTGGGATCTTGAGATACATGTATAAGCTCACATTTAGTATCCTATAAGGATTATTAGAAGTGTGAGGAGTCTGTAGGATTTTGACCCATGGCCCACTGCTAAATTAAAGTTCTTTGCAATTAAATGTTGAATGTGGAAGCTTTTAAGAGTAAACTTTTCAGTTAGCTAAACTCAGGCTTAAGATATATGTTAGAGGAAACATTTAATATATACTAACCTGTGAATCCTGGAGCACACACACAGTGTACAGTGTTCCCCTGGTCGATGCATGCCGTGGCGTTCTTACAGGGGTTAGAAGCGCAGAGGTCGACCTTGATCTCACACCTCTCTCCCCTGTACCCCTCCCCGCACTCGCAGGTGAAGCGGTTCAGCTGGTCCACGCAGGCTCCGTTGTTCAGGCAGGGGTCCGACAGACACTCGTCATACTCGTGCTCACAGTGGTGCCCGTTAAAACCTGCAGGGGGGTACAACATGGAGTTCATTACATTTACCTTCGCAGCCTATATTGTTTCCTTTTATTTATTTTTTTCCCGTCATTTTTATCCAGGGGTGCCCACTCAGTGGTGACGCTGCTTTTCACCACACACTATACTGTGGTTACCAGTATAGCCAGTATAACTGCCCTTCGGCGTAACACACCAGCTTCTGTACCTGTATAGCTGGTATAACAGCCTTTTGGCGTAACACACCAGCTTCTGTATCTGTATAACCGGTATAACCGCCCTTCGGGGTAACACACCAGCTTCGCAGGCACGCGGCGCGGCGGCAGCTGGCTACATTACACCGATCGACTTGTTAGAACCTAACCCTTGAACATATAACTCTAAACATTGTTTAAAGCTAGTATCTAATGATAATACCCCTACTGTACCTGGCACACAGTAGCACTGGTAGCCGTTAACCCTGTCCACACACACCCCATGTCGGCACGGACTCGAGGCACACTCGTCGGCGTTGACCTCGCACTTCCGGCCGCTGACGCCAGGGGGACACTCGCAGGAGTAGTGCGTCACGTTACTCCGGCACACGCCCTGGTGCTGGCATGGCCGACTGTCGCACGGGTCAAGGGTCAACTGGCAAAGGTCACCAGTGAAACCTGGAAAGCAATGAAGGACTGGGTTAAGACATTCATCATCATCTTCGGTACTGCTCATCCCTCTAAGAAGAGGATTATTAGCAGCTGCGCAGATTAGTAACTGTGTGCAAACAAAGGGTAGGGTAGGGATGGACGTAGACAAGTGCAAGGACAGGACAAGTGAAATCTAAGTATGTTTTGTGCTTTTGAGCTGCTAGCCTGTTTGTCAATGGAATATACAAAGAATCAGCAACAAAGACACAATTGATATTGAATAAAACAAGAAAGAAATTACAACTTTAAATACTTTGTCATAACTGTGCCGTCCTGAAAATTATTCGACTTCGTGAAAGTTTGGGGACTACTCCTAAGTTTCAAGTTTTTTATGTTTATTTATCTAACCAGAATATCTCTCAGATCTGAGGATCTGTTTTCCAGATATCCCTGGGCACACACATTTAAAAATACAGGGTGTACTGTCTTTTCCAAAATCATATCCAGTTGCTTGAGTAACTGCTTTTTGGCTTATCTTATTACCTGGATGTCTAACCTTCATTGATGTACTGTCTTACATATAACTTTAGTCAATAAACAAACGTACATACCAGCTAGACAGACACACTGTGGTCCGTACTCCACACTGAGGCACTGGGCTCCATTCTGGCAGGGCGACTCAGCACAGTAGTCTATCTGGTCTGAACAGCTGGCTCCTGTATAACCTGGAGAAAATGGAACATTTCTTACAGTTTTCATTTGATTTTCGCTTTTATTTCTCATAAAAATGTGGTTGTTGAAATGATTGAATCATACTGATTTATACTAATAATAAATCACATTTCTATTAGAAAAATTTTCATATCTTTCACAAATTCAAGCATATCCACATTAATATTTTCAGTCCTCCTAAAAATGGCTGGCAATGATGTCAGACTACTGCTGAATCTAGCCTGCAGCACCAACAGTAACTGCTAGGTGTCTCTCCTACCTGGTGGTTGCACCAAGCCACCTTCTCAAACCTGCAGCACCAACAGTAACTGCTAGGTGTCTCTTCTATCTGGTGATTGCACCAAGCATACTGCAGCACCAATTGTAACTGCTAGGTGTCTCTCTTATGACTGGCAATCTGTCAGTTGCACCTAGCAACCTTTTCAAACCTGTAGAACCAACAGTAACTGCTAGGTGTCTCTCCTATCTGTTGGTTGCAACAATCCACCATTTCAAACTTGTAGTACCAACCGTAACTGCTAGGTGTCTCTCCTACCTGGTGGACAGATGCAGGTGAAGTTGCCTTCCCCCAGGTCGTCCCTGATGTCCAAACATGTGGCCCCGTTTTCACATGGGTTACTATGGCAACCGTCCATCTCCTCACAGTACTGCCCTGTGTACCCCTCACAGCACTCACAGGAGAAACTTCCCTAAAGGAGAAGAATTTTGTAGACAAGTGACTTTTTTTAATCAGATTTATCATAAAACTGGTGGGACCCTTATACATGACTATGTGAATGTTGAACCAGTGGTTTAAATGTATTACATAAAAGCTATAGGCAGGTAAGAGAAATGCCCAAATGCAAGGCACAAAAACTTTTGAGAATTAGCGCTTGCAAAATTCCAAAGAAAAAAAAATTTCTTAGCATTAGCTCAATGAGAAAACCCCAATGACCAAGCATTGTTTTCAATAACAAGCTTCATGGTTTTACACACATTGTATTTTGACTCAAAATTCATTGATTTCTCACTCCTATGTTCTGAAACAAAAATGTTTCCTACCTGTGCTTAAAATTAAAACTTTTGATTCAACACAAAGAAGCTCCCTAGATCTTTAAAGTGGCTTCACTAAACTGTGATAGTGGCCATCATCGTCTACCAGACACCTTTGACCCAGAGTGTTGACATCACACTTCAAAGAAGCCATGTGACAAGCTTCAATGGGTCAGTCTACTAAGGAAGACCAGAGTGACTGGTCGAAAGCTCTAGGTGAGAGAACTTCTTTGAGTTGGATCAAAAGTTTTAACTTAAAACTTGGAAAAACACAGATGAACTTTCATGCTAGTCTCCCACCTGAGTTCTCCAGGACAGACAGTGTCCCCGGTTGTTACACAGGTCCGTGCCTGGCTGCTCCGCTGGTCGGCACAGGTTCGGCTTCACAGTGATGTTAATCCTCAACCCAAAGTCACACCGGAACAGGGGACTGTCTGTGTTCACTGCAGAGGTATGAAAAACATTGCTCACTTTGAAGCATGCTGCAGAAGAACAACCACAGACTTAAGATATAAGGGGGTTTATAATAATCTTTTTTTACAATGTATAATACAAGACAAAAGACTGCTTGCCAATGCGTGGGTAAAGCCAAGTCAGCCCTTTATCTCTTGATACAGCACGAAGAGGAGGGAACAAGGGAACTGTACTCATTCGACCATAGTGATCTTATATTATTAGCTGAGACAAATTCGTAATTGAAAGAGGACCTATGAAGTAGTTGCTTCCGATGTTGAGAAACTCTGGGTCCAGTTCAAAGGGAACTGCTGTGGGTCTGTCCGTGGTCGCCCTGCCCTGTGTTATACTGCACTGCTCAAACCCCTCCCGGGAGACCTTGTATGGCTGGATGGCAAACTCTACCTCCTGACTGTCTGGCTGGAACCTGATAGCAGACAACAGGAACAACTTTAAATTAGAAGCTTGGAACTTTATTTATTAATCTTCCCAATACCACCTAACCATATAAACAATACAAATTTGAATGCAAACAGATACCTGAGGAGGTTAGAGATTAAAAATGATGATAACACAGACACTTTCTATCTATTTTGCTGTCTTTCTATCTAATTAGGTCTAAAGAGATGCTAAAATACCCTGGAAACATTGATGAATTTGATGAAAACAATATTTCCATACACTGTCAACATCATCATCATACATGTAGTTTAGCATTATCTAGACTTCAACACATACCTAAAATATGTAATCATACTATTTTCCAATGGTTTATAGTAGCGAGTTTTCCCCATCTGTTGCCATGGTAACTGCTCACCTGACCCTGACGCCCTCCTGAATCTCCAGTGGTTTCTGCTGCACCTGCAGGACCCCCTCACCTGCCGCGGCCGGCACGCCGAAACATGTCTGCCAGGTGTTACAGGTCTCCTGGGGAATAGACGGAGAATTCTGTCAGTCATTGACAGGTTTTTTCTCACATAGAGGGGATTTCTTTAATTTCAAACATCAATCAAATCATTTGAATCCGGAGGCTGTCACACTGAAAGATGTCTCATAGGTGTTACAGGTTTCCTGTGGAGCAAAGAGGATTCAGTCAGTCATTGATAGTTTTTTTCACATAGATGGGGTTTTCTTCAGTTTCAAACTTGGTTGATGGTTTGAGGTTTTTTGTTCATCAATCAAATCATTTGGAGGCTGTCACACTGAAACATGTCTCATAGATGTTACAGGTCTCCTGGGGAGCAAAGAGGATTCAGTAAGTCATTGATAGGTTTTCTCACAAAGAAGGCTATCTCTTTAGTTGCAGACTTACTAGCTGTATTTGTTTGAGGCTTTTCATGTTTACCGAAGGAAAACATGTTGTTTTTACTACGTTTCTTCTTCCTCTTCTGTTCCAAACATTAACCTCTGACATGACCAATGACAACTGATTTGTTGACATCTGTCACCATGGTGACTGGTATGTATTGTGAATCTGTTCAACTGTTAGGTGTTTGTCTGTGCTTTTGGCCAGGATTTCCTGAAAAACAGGCCAGAGTGGCCTGAGTGTGATACCTGGTTGAACAAATAAAGTTGAAGTTGAAGTTGGTGTTGGGTTACATAATGTTGCAATTTCATGGTCTGCTCTTCTCCTGTCACCATATACTCGTAGTACATGTATGTAAATTAACAGAGCAGACCATGTCCGAAGGTAAACATTATGCATTTGCTTTGCAAATGTTACTTCTCTAGTTTTATTTACCATTTTGATAAATGGTGAGCATCTCATGGCTCCATACTGACCACTTTTTATACTGACCACAGAGAAGAGGTCATGGTCAGACAAAAAAATATAATAAGATGCAGGTCACATGATTGAAGTCCTAATAAATCCATAAAGATAGAGGGTAGATTTAATTCACAAAATATAATTATATGTCCTTGTAACATCATATTATTAGATATCTTCGCTTACTTAACATTCTACTGGAGTCCATGATCAAATCAATGTGTGAAAGATTCAATGTTCCCCCGGGCTGCTTCAGATAATCATCAAATGCACAGTGTGGAACTTGTATCACCAGATAGTCTTAACTAACAGTTCTGAAGCTTTAGATTACATTGTATGAAAGGCTTACAGCTGTGACAGGTGTTCAAAGTGATATTGTTAGAAAATGTCACGTGCCTTCAATATGTTCCCTTAGTTGTGACTGGTTCATTTGTAGTTTGATGCAATATTGCCGGAATTTGTCACATGCCTGTGAAGCTGGTGTGTAACACCTAATCCCTAAAGGGTGGTTATATTGACTGATAACTACAGTTTCAGAGAAAGATTTGGGTACATGTGGTACACATTATTACAGTTTCAGAGAAAGATATTGGTGTGCCTGTTACACCAAGGGACATCTGCACTGGCTGATCAATATAGATACAGGACAGGGGTGTTACTCTGAAATGTTAGGGCTAAAATACTTTTTTGTGAGTTACATGCAATATTGCATACTTGTCAGGAATGTTACCTGCAATATGTCAATGGAACGAGGAGAGACAATACCTTTAATCTTTTATTACTTTAAAGTTTAAGGTTTTGTTTCTGGTGTGTTTGTGTGTTTCTTACATTTCTGTATTTGCACATAGTACTTAAAGGCACATTTATTAGTGATGCAGAATTTAGGTCAAAGGTCCCATAAAAGGTTATTTCCTTTCCTGTTATATTTCTTGCTATATGCATGTCTGTTGCCTTGTAGGAGCCAGTAAAATGCATTATTTAAAGACAAAATCAATGAAAAATTTACAATGATCATAAAATGGACAAAGCAAGAAATTATTGAATAACATCACAACTCTCACAAAGCTCGAGAAGTGGGAGTTGATTTATGTCTTCTGAAACTTGAAGGAGGTTATTTTCAGCTCTGAGTTGATCACACCGTATGATTACCACAGAATGAGATACAATCAGAGTCTCCCCAAGGCCAAACCAGAAACCAGAGACCCTGACCGCAGCTGATACCGGTATCTACCCTGTCAGGCTGGGTTTACATGATGTATGGTGGACTACAGACTTCAAACGGAAAATCAAAGCTCCTCGACCGGCTTTGTTTTCGATCTCTCGCTGGATGTATGGACCGATTCAAGTCACCCCTTGTTCAATTTTGTGCAGCACATTAGTCATTTCTTGATTCTATTGGACACAGATGTAGATGGAGTGTGTGGAGCACCATACAAGGTTACAGACAACAGATGATGATTCTGATATTCATGTTTTGTATGATTGTATACTTAATAATACCTGACAGTATAAAAGACTCTGCTTGATTCACTGGCTAAAACATGCTCAATGCCTTTGTGTACAAATATGGTCAGACATACCAATTATGGTCGTACCAATAATGATCAATAATTTCTCAGGAATTGATCTCTATGAGATGACCCAAACCTGTCTTGTCTTGTGAACCAGGGTATTCCGTCATACTAAGGAGGCTCTTAAAGATGCCACAAGAGGCCCATCAAGAAACCGTAAGCCACTTCTTGAATTCCATAAAGCTGGGACCATCATTACATTCATCAGAGGCATTTGTCTTACTGTTAGGAAACTCTGGAAGATGTTACAAGACTTCTAGTAAGAAAGCCATTTTTTCTAGTAAAGAAAAGCAAGAATACGTTGATGAAGGTTAGACATCCAGGTAATACGATACGCCAATAATTGTCTTCACTTTATTTGCATATCAATCAATAGTTTGTGCTTATAAACCTGCATTTCTCCTCTGGTCTCTCAGTCACCAACAAAAGGTAGTGTATGCTACCTGAAATGTCTGACCGTTTCCAAAATCATATCCAGTTGCTTGAGTAACTGCTTTTGGGCATAAAAGCAAGAAATTCAATATACTTGTCATGAGTTCTTGTTTTAGGAATGAAATGTCTTGAAATGAAATGTTGTGAGGATGCTTTTGAGATTTCTGTAAGAAAATTAATTTCTCCATCATTCCATAGGGAATGGCTTCATCTATGCCCCATGTTGCAAAGATGCTTTAACACATCTATAAGGAAACTTTAAATTAATTTCTTGAGTCTGCTATTTGTCACCTCCCCCATCTCCATTCTTTAGAAATGACTTAATCTATGTCTCTCATGTTGCAAAGATGCTTCAACACATTTATAACAAAACTTTCATTTCTTGAGTCTGCTATATGTCACCTTCCCCATCAAAGTTTTCTGTACCAGACACCATCTCCATTTCTTACAAATGACTTGATTTATGCCTTATGTTGCAAAGATGCTTCTATTATAAAGAGACTTTCCTTTCTTGAGTGTCCTATATGTCACCATCCCCAATCAAAGTTACAGACCCCATCTCCATTCCTTCTAACTGACCCAGATGTGCTGCTCCTGTGTACATTGTACCATCACACTCAGTCATACCAGGAACACTCCTGTACAGGTCCCATGGGTGTTGTTATAGTAATGATATACATGGTGCTTCCCAGCTTACATCAATTGTAGTCATTAGCTGTAATGGAGCAATACATCTTACTTCTTTGACAACTTCTGTTGCACAAACTTTCTGCTGGAAATAGTTCTATCACTTATTCTGGAGTCAAAAAGCTATTGAGAACCCTATGAATAAAAATTTTACAAGTTTTGCTGCAGTTACCAGTTGAAAGAAAGTTCCCAACATGGAATTTGATCTTCCTTTTGTAAAGAACTAAAACATAATTTATAAAATACTAAGTTCTTTAAAAAAGAAATCATGAGATTCTATAAAAAAAGACTGGACAAGTGATAAACATCATCATTGGTCCCTACACACCCCTCTATTAGGATACTTAATCAATATATTCTGTATTGATGAATTATCCATAAATATTGATGACAGGTAGATATCCTCTTGAGGTAGCAATTTACATCCAAAATGGAAGCAATAAAAAAAGGAATAAAACGGCATCGTCTTCCCAATAAGTCTGAGACATGATTCAGGTCTTAAGTCCCCAGAGCTGAGACCCAGTCACCTTCTGACCTTCAGTACTCATGTTAACTCAGAGGTCATCTGAAGGTCACGGCCTGGACCCAGAGGGGAGAATATGTAGTTACAGGGTCGATGTGAAATATGAGAAGGTTGATGGAGATTCTGATTCCAATCAGTTTCACATTCCAGCCATCGGTGATGTTGTAATTCGACACCACATGCAACAAGTAGATACAGAATTACTGCTGGCAGTTCTACCAACTGAAATACAAAATATAGGAAAGCCAGAAGATGGAAAATTATATTTTTTAAACTTTGCTGTGTCTCTCTGAATATGTTGAATCTTTATCATACCACTTATGGCTAAAGTATACACAAATTGTCATATATCTACTGGAGTGACCTTCCCTTCCCTTGACAGCATGAAATACAACTACTGAAATATTAGTAGTAGTGTCAGCTGCCAGATATTTTCCTGCATGAACTGTGGTCATCATTCATAACTTGTTAGGAGCCATGGTTACACAATTATAGTGCTTGTATCTACTGCTAAATTTGATCTATTGCTTCCTCAATCTTACTTTTTACTGCATTTCAAGTACAAATTTGATCAATTGTACAGTCAAATGTAATATTCTTACATAGTTTATACAATTTGTGTCCATGATTGATGTATACATGAAATCAAAAGAGTTACAAAGAATGATTATGACTATAGAATAATGAAGTCAAGAAATGATGAAAGTGTTCTGGTTCTGCCTACAATTTTGATCTCATACAGTCTTAACCATACATGTATGATGATGGGTTTGTCATGTTCTATTTAAATTATAGTTCCTCAAACTCCTACAAGACCACAGTGTTATTAACTGACTGTCTGTCTCTATCGTCCAGGCAATTTTTCAAACACAGAGGAAAAATTAACTCCTGGTAGTTTCCTATTGATTTCTGGTTAAGGGAGGGAAGATGTTTTATTATACCTGCCGCCCAATACCACAATCAGCTGAGACAACAATTTCAAATAATAGGGGGAAATTACCTTTTTATATATGTCATGATGATGGAGGTTTATGAACCCTTCTTTTATTCCCAGGGTGCCTTTTAGCAATAAAAAAACAATCAGTAAAATGTACACATAATTGCATCAATACATCTAAGCACCATTTTGAAACAACATATATCAACTTTTGGGGAGCCAGAGTAGACATGTGGGCTGTGGCTAACTCTTATTTTCCTTGCACCACTCCTGGATACATTCTAATAGTTTTTTGATGCAGTTGGACATATGGTACGTACAGAGGGGCCTAAGTGGCATATGCTCCCTGTTTTTCCTTGCTAACAGTAGATCGTTTCATCTAGTTATGTGTAGGTAAGATACGGAAAACAAGAACTTTCCTTGGTGCTGAAATCTGTGTTGCTGAGTAAAAGTGGTCCTGATTGGAAAACACTAATACATAAACCTCCACTGGCATTCATTAAAAGGCTGTTGCATATCTCATCCTCTGTTTTTTTTTATCTTGATCTTCTGGTCCAGCATTTTCTCTTAAGGAACCAAGAAATCAAGTTGGACGTTCTAAGAATACTTTGGCATCCTTTCAAAGCTCTACTTGGTATATCAAGTTTCCTTATGCAATTTCCCCACAATTTCTTTATTACTCTCCTGTGACCAATTCGCCTTTGTGTCATAGCAGATAATGCCCTGAACATCAGTAAATTATGTGGACTCTTGGGTTTTCGATTCTCCTGCATTCTAAGAGCTTCAGATATTCTGGGGTAATCTTGGCACTGCCTCCCCCCTACTCTGTATGCAAAGGTGTTTATCTTTTACCAGCATCTCTTTATTGTTCCCCTGGTTGTAATTTCCTGTTACAGACACCGCAGCGCTGCAGATTGGTGATGGGCTGAGGGTGATAAACTCTCACCGGATTTTCTCTCACCGAGCACAAGGCGAGACAAACGCGCTCCAAAATCGATGCCGCGCCTGGCCAAATTATTTAGCTGCAGCCTTAACAAAAGAAACGTCTGTCGAAACAAGGTGTTGGACATTAGATTAACCTTCTCCCTGCTGCCTAACTCCGTGTTCAGTAGATAATTGGTAGCTAGATGCTTCAGTGTGTGTAAGGTTCACTACACCACGGGTACCGGTTGTTTATACAGCTAAGTCTCTTAATAAGGTGCAAGACAGAGATAGGACAGACATTTCCAGTTGATGAGGAAAGTTCTGAACCTGAACTGGACAAGCTGACAAGTTAAGTGGTCAGGAAAAGGGCAGAAGAGAATAGTACTTTTTTCCAGTCTCTGTTAAGCATTCTTGAAGATTCTAGAAATATGCCAAAAAGCAGTTACTCAAGCAACTGGATATGATTTTGGAAAGTTGCTTGAGTAACTGCTTTTTGGCATATTTTATTACCTGGATGTCTGACCTTCACTGACGATTCTAGAAATAGTTTTACCTACAGTGATAAGTTAAGAGACTTGTGGAAAATGATTTCCGTATAGACAGATGGTTACTAGGTAGGATTTTTAATGCTTGTGTCAATCAGATAAAATGTGCACCAAAAAGTGGCTGAAATTACCAAGTGGTCCTTATGGGAAGGTGAATTTGTGTGCGCACATGTACACACAGTACAAACTGGCTTCTTCCCTGACAAATCTATTGGCTGTAAATTTGAGGAAAGTGGCTGGAGCTGGGAAAACGGCCGTTCAGGATTTATGCCTGCACGTTGAGTGGTCGTTTAACCAGATGGGTTTACGTTATAGCGAGCTGGAATGGAGAGAAAAGCTGTGAGGATTAGGAAGGAACCGGCCGTTCTTGTTACTCCCACCTCAGGTACATAACCGATAACCAGGAGGCTGGGGGGATGTGGAGGAGGATTATGGGCATCAGTGGGAAGGAAATTATCGGCGACAATTCGGGACATTTCGGTTGAAGTAATGGACGCAATTTTCCCTCCCAGGCATCTGTCTGTTTCTATGCGGATAAAATATCATTTCCACATATTTCTGTTTAGCATAAGACTGTCTGTTTTTATGTGGATAAAATACCATTTCCGCATCATTTTATTTATAATGGCAGTGCTAACATGCTTTTTATCTCTTTGTGGACATAAACTAGTCTACTTAACTCTATCTACTCGACCATCTCTGTTTTTAAACCCTTGGGCAAAATAGGGTCACAACAGTAAGGGGCTAGTGCACTGGTAATGGTGTGTGTTTAAATCACATACTCTGTGTCTAAAGTGCTGAGTGCTGTGATATGGTACTGTGGCTTAGTGATCACTCTAAAAAGTGCAGAAACCAAGGATATAAAATGTTATGGGCCTATTCTGCAATTTTTGAGTCCCAACCAACAGGTACTAAACCATACAAAATGCTTTTCCTCCCATATAGATTAACATTTACAAGTCCTCATGGGTAAAAGATATCTGCTATTTACATCCTCAGCCATTGCCTTATAGACATGTCAATAATTCAGTACCCATTATGCCAATAAACACTGCTGCCCCAGGTCACATGCATATAGACCTGTGCAGATGAACCTGTGATAATGGTCCATGGTCTTTTGGGATGAGTCCAACTTTCATGTAGGGCACTGGGTATGGCATTTCTAAGGGGCTGGGGTAGAAATGAAACTATCAATGCAATCTCAAGATATAACCTTATGAAGATGTCACTTACTTGCATATCCATCAAAGATGAGCAGTTGAAATGGTTTCTTAAGGGTAAGAAGATATGCTTTTAACCTGTACTAGAGCCAACCTCTTTGTGAAAACTTGGCCATTGTATCCACTTTCTAGTGGTCCTTCAGACTGTTTTCCCCATATACCTATGCAAGAAGAATCCTGTACATCGACCACTTGTCTAGAATGGGACTGTTTTCTTCAAGCCACTCCAGTAGCTTGTTCCATCTAGCTACTGTATATCAAGGCTAGGTACACCATTTCATTGGTGCTGAAACATGTGTTATTATGCAAACGTTGTCTGAGTAAAGTCTGTTGGAAGAAATGTCTGATTTAAAAGTTAGTGCATGTTATAAACTAACAAGACAGATGTCTTTTGATGCTTTAAAAGCCCCACCAATTCTTAAACTTTTTAATATGTTCTTGTGTCTTAACATGCCAAGACACAAGAACCTCTGAAGAGTGGGCTTCCAAATATGGTCATGTTAGAACTGGTCCCAGTGGGCCGTACTAATGGAGTAGTAGGCGGGGGTTGGGCAGGGTTAATGGACTGCGCCACGTGAAGCTTTTCCTGCTTCCGTTTCTGGTTACACGATTCATCTTGTCTTCCTCTGGAGGCTCATTCTAAGTGGTTTGAAAACTTAACCAAGACTGGAAGTTCAATGTTAGATGTTAAACTTTGTACATGCATCAGTCAGTGGATATAACTTTACCACACTCTGGAGAACACACAGAAACATCACAGGCAGGTGGCATCGTGCCAATAGTTGTCTTTACTACTAGCTCATAGCAAACAGAAGAAATTTTGCCCATATTTGGGCATCGTGCCCATATTTGTCTTTCCGCCTTTCTCAAGACATTTTAGCCATATTTGGGCATCACGCCCATATTTGTATTTCTTCCTGGCCAAAAGGGAACATATCTTTTACCCATATTTGGGCATCATGCCCACTATTTTTCTCTTCTCCTAACTCAAAGGAAACATAGCTTTATCCCATATTTGGGCATGATGCCCATATTTGTCTCACCTTGGCGTACCCCCACTCCACCGTCACGACAGATCCCGTCATGTTGCGTTGCCATGGTGATGACCCCTCGGGAAGTGGGCCGAGGCATGCTGGGACAGGCTGGTCACAGTTCCTTCCCATGTATCCCTGCAGACAGTCGCAGGTGTAGTCAGCGACCAGGTCCTGACAGGTTCCATGTACACAGGGGTTAGGGGTGCACTCATCGCTTTCAGTCTGGAACAACCAAGTACAGAAAAGGCATTATCATTAGATAGCTTTAAGCAAAGTCTAGAGTTAGATGTTCAAGGGTTAGGTGTAACAAGTCATTCGGTGTAATGTAGCTAGCTGCCGCCGCGCCACGTGCCTGCGAAGCTGGTGTGTTACACCCAAGGGCAGTTATACCAGCTATACAGATACAGATAGAATGTTCAAAACTTTTACAACAATGCTTATTGGTTAGAAAATTAGCCAGCAACCAGGTCCTGTGGGCAAAGGGTTGAGGAAACACTCATCAGTCTAAGTCTGGAAGGAGAAATTTTCAAAACTTTTACAATAACAATGATAGATAAGATTATGGCCAGGTAATGCTTAGTTTAAAAAAAAGCAGACTACATGTTCTGTGTTCTGATCTAGATGTAATGTTAATTGTGTTGTGTTAATTTATAATGTTGCACAATAATTTTTAAGGACAAATGTAATGAATGTATGGTACATGTACATAATTATATGTTATTGCATGTTATCATTTTTGCTGAGAATTTCAGAAAGATTAGTGGCATGCCATTGGGCCAACTGCTAATGGATATAATGAAAAAGGACCCTCAAAATTCATGACATGAGACTTGAAGAGAAGACTGGAAAATGACATGCATGAAGATTTATTGCTCCATGAAAATCTGTGTTGAAAAAACACAACACAAAACTCAAACAAACAGTCGACTGATTCCAGTGAACAGTCCGTAGCAGTGACATTTTGGATATGCCAGAGAAAATCTGCCTGAGTCTATAACAGATGAGCTGCACAACAGGAATCTGCTGATCCTATCCCCCTGGCTTTACTGTTCTCACAGGTTAACTCAACTGACCTTACAAACATGCAGAATCATCAGTCATGTGTGAAGGCATCTCAGGTCAGGCCATTTTTCATACATAATCATATGAGATCTTTATTAAATCTACGGTTGGTAGAATGCTGGGTTATGATGTTGATTTTACAAACAATTTGTAATATGTGTTAATGGTTGTTAGCATCCATAAGCTGGTGTGTTACAACAAAGGGTGGTTATACCGGCTATACAGATACAGAAGCTGGACAGGTGTGCTATGCCAAAGGGCGATTATACCTGCTATACAGATACATATACAGAATGGTGTTGGCATTCAAAAATTATTCTTTTGCCTAAGGTACAGCCACACAACTGTTTATCATTGTAACATCTTATACATAAAATTCAGAACATCATCTTAAAGTCAGAAAACCAGCGATAAAATTGTCCTGACGTCCAACTTGTGACATTTTTCAAAGCTTATCTGTAAGTCCCTGTAAGCACACATGTAAAACCCATGCCTGTATATCTCTGGTACAGTAATCCTCAGGTTCAGCAGGGCTGGAAATACTGGGTGCACATCACCTTAGTGCACCTAAAATTGGAGCTGTGCACACAATTTTTTTCTGTGTATACTTTTGTAGGTATTTTTGTACATATCAAATGTATAATAGTGTGCAGAATATTCTTGGCATCTAAGTGTCACAAAAATCATAAAATCTTTGTTACTGTACTTGTTTAAGATTTTGAAGTTAGCTCCCATTTCAGATTCAATTTAATATATAATAATGGTTTATTTGTTTGTATTAACATATTTACAACATATCTCACAGCCTTGACATACAGGGCTGAATTCTGATCAAGTTGTTTACAATATAAGTTATTAACAGTAGGGAAATACAAATTGCAATCATATCGGAATCTACATATTAATTTCAAGCATTCAAGCTCAGAAGAGGAGCAGTAAGATCTGTAATTAGGTTTTTTTTTATGTGGTGCACCCATAAAAAGAATTTGTGCAACTAATTTTTTAGGTTGGGTGCACCAGTGCACCTACATGTATTCCAAAAATGAATTTTGAGCCCTGTTTAGGACATGTGTGATATGTGGACGTACAATCCCGTCCAGCCACCCCGCGGCCATACGCAGTCCATCACGACAGACCCAATATCTCAGCGTTTATTGTGTGGAACAGAACAGGTTATTAAAAGGTATGGTTCAGTAAGGAGCTATCTGTCTTCTTATAGGAGAACCAGAGGGCAAACTGGGACTGACGCCTCACTAGTCCAGTTTCTCTGTTCCCAGACATTTCAAAGTTTAAACATAGCATGAATTATGATGTGATGACAACATTAGACAATCAGAGATGACAGTCTAGTTCAACCCTTTAGGCCTATATGGATGACATCCTCTGGCAACCCCAAAACTGATGCAAGCATGCGAATAAAAAAAAAGTTTGGCAAAGTACAGCATGATTGAAGACTGTTTTTTGGAAGTGGCCAAAAATTTGTGCGCATGCCGATGTCATCCATATAATCAAATCATAGCCTTACCCAGTTCCAGAAATGAAAATACTAGCACTAAGTATGTATAGCCATGTTACTTTGCTGGCAATATTTCAGAAACACAGCCATGCCAAATATGGTACTTCACTCCTGCAGAGGTTAAGCAAGAGCCAAGACAAAAACTTGGTTTAAATGTTCATCTTTATGTCAAATGTTGAAAATAATCTGTATGCTCAGGTATACAAACTTAAAGTACCTTCATGCAATGTGGCACCTCAACAAATTGAACTGAACTGAAAAATTTCTACCCCTCACAAATAGTGACACAGTCAAACATGTGCAAAGCTCCGACAATTCTAGTTGCACAAATTGCTGATGCACCCAGTATTTGAGGCCTGATGTAGTGTGTGTCTTGTGATAATAACTCCCCAAGGGTCAGCAAACACACTTTTTATATTTGCCACGGTTTATATAACCTGCTACAGATGACAACTTAAGCCAGTGAAGAAGTGTCGGATAGAAATAATGGCCCTCATTTGGGTAAATCAATAAGGAGTACGGAGTGGGTGGCAAATATAAATGAGAGGTTTGGATTCATTCCTCATTTCTCACCATTCCCCAGTTTACTGCACTGACAACTCAAATCCTCCCAAGTCTTGCAATTTTCACAATTCTGCACAAAATTTTGAAGCTTGGAGGAAGAGTAAGACAAGGATTCGGACGTTGCCAATACTACTGAAGCCTGCACTACATTCTTTAATCTTGCCAAATTGCAAATGCTTTTATTTATATTCTCTTCTACAATCTCAAAGGTATTGTCTTCTGTGTGTAATATATTATTGCAGTGTGATGCATTGTATTGTAATGTACTGTAGTGTATTGTAAAGAAAAGGAGCAGATAGCATGCTGATATTTCATTCCTTAGGCCACACCAATTTAATTTGTTGGTTCAATCTCTGATTTTTTCAGGAAAAAATATGAAGCAACAGGGGAAAAAATAAAAATAAAAAAAATCTAGGCATCCTATTATAGTCCCAAATGCTACGATAGGAGCCATGAAGTCAACACAAAAGGCTGAGCTAATATTTAAACAATGAATTTTGAACTTTTAATCAAACCACTGCATTGATAGATGGAAAACTGTTGGGGAAAATATGAGCATATTTGAGTTGGTTCAGAACCAGAATCTTTTTTTTGTGCAAATCAGAAAAGAAAGAAGAGGCAAATCCGAGAACCAACAAATTAAATTAGTGTGGCCTTAAACTGATATGTCTGGAGATGCTTCCTGAACTTACTGACATGATTCTGCCAAATTTGCCTGATTTAGCACAGTTATTAAGTCAGTCTGATTGATGCTCTACAGCTTCAGTGTTTGTATCCATAACATTAAGCCTGGAGAGCATCTGTAATGCCCCAAATCACCATCGATTTTCCTTTAATTAAACAATTAATCACTTAACGAGATTTGTCAGCCACAGGACATGAAGTAGAGCGGATCGTGTACCGCTATTATAATATTGCTGGTCGTAAATCAATGTGCATCATTCTGGGCTTGTTCTATCGGATTTTTTTATATTAAAACAGATGACTCTTTTTATTGGTATCTTTAAGTTAGTAGGAAGCAGATTTATTTTTCATTTTGTTCACATATTTGCTATTTTTTTATACCTTCTAACAGGTATATGGTAACTCCTATCATTTTACTACTCAACATTTTAACAAATTGCAAAGTAAAACAACCTAAATCATGAGAAAGTACTACCAGTATGCTCTAAATCTGAGGGGAAAGTCTGTACTTTCAAATTGGTACACCCAGTTCCAGGGAGTGAATGTAGACAGATTTCTTCCCCGGCCCACTCTTTTAATCTTGTTCTCTTACTTTACGTTCTTGCTTTAAAGTAAGATCTATTATTTTCTCGTCTTAAATAAGTCATCAGGACTCATGTTACTCCTATGTGGGTCAGGAGCTCACACTAATCTGACTGGAATCAATTTTGTAGGATTCGGTGAGCGTTTTTGTGGGAAGGTCTGTGTCAGGTGATTTGGTAGCGTGATGAAGGTTGATCCTGAGGATTGTAAAATCGATGCGGAGGAGACTCACACCAGCTGGTCCAGCGCAGGGCGTAAAGACGTGTTAAACTGTTCGCGGGATGTCGGAGGGGGGTGGAAATTAGGGGGAGATTGATTCATCACCTGGAGTCCATCTTCAGTTCTAGTCTGCTACTATCATATCCAGAATGCTACCACCTTGTTCTGTGGCTGGATTGGTTAGGGTCAGGATCAGGTACGGTTCTGGATAGTCTCCATATATCCAGGAATGTACATTTTCTGACGGCACAGTTCTAGATAGCCCCTATCATATCCAGAACTGTGCCAGTATCTTGTTCTATGCCTGAATGGATTAGAGTTAGGATCAGGCACAGTTCTGGATAGTCTCTATTGTATCCAGAACCGTGGCTATCTCTGAGTTCTTTGCATGGGTTAGGATCAGGCATGGCTCTGGATAATCTACAAAATGTATACGTATCCAAGAATGTGTATTTGCCCCAGGCACAGTTCTGGATATGTGTGGACAATCCAGAAGAGTCCTTGAACAGGTTGACATGTTGTAACACTGTAAAACTAACTGATAGATCTCACTGAGAAAGCAAGTTTGGATGTACAATTCCCAAGCTATGGAGCT